GGATTTGGCGACGGACTTCGGCGCATAGACGCTCCAGTGCTCCACAAACTGGGAAGCTGGAGCGTCGATGCGCCAACCTCCCTGGCCGACCAAACGACGCAGTTCATACATCGAGCCCCTCCCGTTGCCATTGAGTAAGCAAGCAACACGATTAGCGCTTGTCTTGATTTGGATTTTGATGTTGGATTTGGACCTTGCAGACGATGACGACGAGAACGAGGAAGACGACGTGAAGGAAGAGGATGATGAAGATCAGGGTGGGCATGGGAGGACGTGGAGGACGCGGTGGAGCAGCAGGAGGAGGAGCAGGATGCGCAGGAGGATGAGGAGGGCGAGAAGGGGCAGGGCGGGGGCTTTAGGGGGCCGGGCAATCAGCAGTAGGAGGACGAGGAGGAGCAGTCGGATCTGAGAAGGAGGAGGATGCGGAGGAGGGGCGGAGGAGGGGCTGGAGGAGGAGGATGGGTATGGGGAGGAAGAGGTTCAGGTGAGGTTGCGGAGCTCGGGTGTAAGATCACGCGGCAGAGGGGGGGAGCAGGAAGAGGAGGATGAGGGGGAGGGGGAGGGGAAGGGGGAGGAGGAGGAGGAGGAGGAGGAGGAGGAGGAGGAGGAGGACCCGACAGCTTGAGGCAGAACATCCCGATGAGCCGCCTCAAATGGGCGGCCGCCTCCTTGGCTCGAATGCGTTCGGCCAGGGCACGTAGCCGATCATTGTCGACCAGTCGGGCCTTGCCTGCAGCGTCGGGGCCAGGAGGGGCGAGGAGCGCCATGGGCGGCGCCCTGCACGGTGCAGCAGCACCATTTCCCTCAACATTGTTTCTGCAATGAAGGCGGAGGCCTTGCTCGATACGCTTGAGAGCACTCTCTCCTGAGGCTCCCAGCTTCTCCAGACACATCTGACCTTGCAAGTGGCACCGATGATTGGTATGTGATGCGCACCTGGTGCAAAACAAAACAAACAAACGGCTTTTTTGGCTCAAATTCGCAACGCCCAACTTGTGTCGATGAACCGACTCGGCACCGTCGAGGTGCCTCAGGGCCGTGGGGGCCCCAGCACAAGCGTTCACAGGTCGGGCGCCACCATGAAAAGAAGCCAGGAGCCATGTTGTGTGCACCTGGCCCTGGCATCGCTCGGAGGTGTGCATGTTGTTCTCGGCGAGGGCCCCGGAGGAGCATCCTGGATCATCGAGCAAGCAGAAGCACGCACGAAACCGAAAAATGCACAGGGAGTGGGCGTCCGATCGATGGCAGGTGGCCCGGCCCTCCACCTCGAGCTCTTCCCACGAATGCCAGTCGGGCGGTGGCTGCACTCGGGTGCGGCGGGCCCGGGTGCGGCAGGCAGGTGGACTCCAGCTCGGGGAAGAAGGGGGGAACGGCACCGAACTTTTTGCTGCACAAGAGGGGAGCTTCTTCACTTGCCCGTCCAGGGCCTCCAGGTCGACTGGGGACGCCTGTGGGGGAAGAGAGAGTGCGTGCTTCGCCAAACGGTCTGCATCCGCACTGGCTAGTGCAATTTGTCTCTCCTCCTGGTGGCAGAGCTTGAATCATGCCCTCAGACCTGTGGGCTCGGGTACGGTGGGCCTCGCCAGCAGCACTAAAGCCTGATGCCTGCTGGGCAGCCTTGCGGACTCCCACAAACATTTGCTTGGGGCCCAGTTGGGCCGCGTCCAAAGCACTGTGCAATCGAACGGCTCCCTTTCAATCGCTGTACGGGGTGCTCATCCCAGACGCGAACGCACAAACAGTAGCCAGCCCAATCTGCTTAGCGGCTTGCGGGGTCTGGGGAAGTGAGGGCCAATTCGGGGCCGTCATCCCGGTCCGAACTTTGTAATCGGACCCAGGTTCCAGAAACAAAGAGCCGCGAATGAAGCTTAATTCAAATATTTCATTGTGTACTGGGTTGCCGAGCCATCCACCACCACATCGCAGCCCTCGCTTCGCTCAACAAACTCCTGGAGGGTCAGTGGCCTGCCGTCGCCGTCTTGGAGGAGGGGGTCCGTCGCCACAGAGGGAGGAGGGAAGGACTCTCTAGGCTGGGCCAACACCAGCCTGCTCCAAAAGGGATGCTCAAATGACTCGATCGTTCTGGTTTCCTGAACAATTTCATCATCTATCGTCTGGCTGTGTCTCCATAGATGGTCCGGCGGTTGTTTCGATGGGGGACGGCTTCGGCGTACACAATGGAAACGTATTATACAAGCGTGCAACTGGTTCGAAGGAGGGAGTGTAGCCAGGCAAGGTGGAAAGGGAAGACGGAGGGATGGGAGGAGGCGGATCGGGGTGGAGGCAGGGAGACCATCCAGCCTGGGAGCCAGGGCCGCTAGCGACGGCGATGGCGGCGGCGACGGCGGCGACGGTGACCATGGCGACGACAACGACAACGACGTCGACGACGCGTTTGTTCGGCCTCTTGGCGCCTCTGGGGGCCTCTTTGGGGCCTCTCGGGGACCTTGTTGGGCCTCTTGGAGGCCTTTGGGGCCTCCTGGGGGCTTCTTCGGGCGAAAGGCTGGGATTTTCAGGTCGCGTTTCCTCTCATGAGCCTCTCTTGTGGCCGTCTTGGAGCACTCGTGTGCCGTCGTGGACGTTCGTTGGATGGTTTTGGAGCACTCTTGGGGAGTCGTGGGGCTATCTTGGGAGCCTCTTGGGCCGTCTTGGGGCGACCTTGTGGACCTGTTGCGCTGTGTTAGAGCGTCGGATGGTAAGCACCCCCAAAACCAGTAAACAATGATTGGGGGATCCGTGTTTGTTGCTCGTGTCCGGCCTCTTCAAAGGTCCTCTTGGAGCGCGCTTGAAGCCTCTTGGGAGAGTCTTGGGAGCCATCGTGGGCATCCTGGAATGCTCGTGGGCCGTCCCGCAAGCCTCTCGGGTGCCCGCATGCCTCTGTGGGGTCGCCGCAGAGAGGCAGGCCGTCGTGTTTGACCCGCGTACACCCCCCGGGACCCCATCCTCCCCCCCCCCCCCGGGAACCCCTCCCCGCCCCGGCGGTGGAGGGAGCAAGGGAAGGGGGGTCCCTTCGCTCGGGTGCGGCAAAGAGGGGGGTGATGACCAGGGGGGGAGTGGATACCATGGCGGGGGCCATGACATTTCCTCAGATTTCATGGCGCCTCTCCTTATTCCATACGTCCCTGGCTCCCGCTCGGCCGCGCTCATGCCGCCGGTCATGATTTGCACCCCCCCTCTTGGACACCCCCCTCTTGGCCGCTCCCGGTTCGCCCTTCGATGCTCAGACGACGTGTCCGAGTTTTGCTGAGGGGCGATCGTGTCGGAAAACGAACGAACGACGGAGAGGACGAGCCGAACGGAAGAACCCCTCGCACACGCCGACAGGGTCGGCGGATTCGCAACCATTTGTGTGTTGGGGAGCACGCATGCGTTTCAGTTTGCACTGGTATATCTGGCTATAGAAGCTATCCGCATCACCAATGTTTCTTGCCCTTGAAGGTGGCCCGTCTGGGGCCCAGACGGGAAATCAATGAGAGATGTTTGCCCACGTGTGGGAGCTCCCCTTTCAAGCGTTGGAAGTCCTTTGGATCAGACGGCCCGTGGTGAGCGTCAAGTCAAGCCCGAGTCCGTTGGCGTGAGGCCTTGGGACTCTCGCCAGAAGTCCAGGCATCTCTGAGTCCCGATGTCCTCCGTCGTGAGAAAAGGGCACGGCGTCGTGACAGATCACGACTGGGAGCCCCAAGACGGGAACGACGTCTTCGCGGGCGTTTGGCAATTAGGAGGAGGAGGAGGAGGCGGAAAGGAGGAGGAAGACGAGATAGGAGAAGGATGAGGAGGATGAGGAGGAGGGTGAGGAGGAGGACGAGGTAGGAGGAGGAGGACGAGGGAGGAGGAGGACGAGGTAGGAGGAGGACGAGGTAGGACGATGAGGAGGAGGGTGAGCATGAAGAGTAGGAAGAGCAGAGAAGCAGAGCTGGCAAAGCCTCCTCCTCCTTCTCCTCCTCCTCCCGAGCGACTGACAGCTGCAGGTGGTTTCGAGTCAAGCCTCGGTGCAGTTGCCTCCTCTACCGCTTCCGCTTCCTCCTCCCGCGGGATCCCAGCGCGTAACTATTGGGAGCTTTGAGACGGGGGTCAACGCAATCTGGGGTCAGCCAGAGCGCCGGAACGTGAAGGATCCTCAAGAGTCAGGGGTGCATTGACCCAGGTGATCGCGCAGGATCTTGCAGGATTGTGCGAGGACTGTGACTGACCCGGGTTTGCAGTACCTTAGTGTTTTTCGTGCTTGTTAGATGTTCTTGTGCATCTAGGGGAGGGCAACCTTGGATGTTCTGTGCGTTTTGGCCGACGAAGCGTCTCATGTTCTTGAGGGGTGGTATTCTGGTCAAGATCCGACTGTATGCCAAGTGGCTTCTCCGCCAGCGGCGTCGCCGGTTCCTCCTGTCTTGGATTGAGTCTGGAGAGTCCAGGGTCGGGAAGAGGTTGCACTTTTTGCTGAGTGTATTGAGAGGTTATGTCGGCTGCGAGCGAGGGGGGAAAGTGAGATGGAGAAGGCCTTATCAGAGGGCTGCGGGGCTTCTCAGAAGCCCTCGCGCCTTCTGAGAGGAGAGGTTTTCTTTGCCTCCGGGCCTTCGTGCAAGGCTGAGAACGCTCCTCAGAAGGCCAGGGGACGTCCGAGCCTTCTGAGAAGGCCCTCTCCTTCTCTCTTCCCCCCTGGCTCGCGGCCGAGTTATTTTGGGGGGGCTCTGGGAGTCCTGATGGCTCGTCCTCCTGCCCCCTCCAGAAGGAGATGGCGACCCCTCTAGAGGTGACCCCCCCTGGCAATGCCTGGCTCCCTCTCCCGGCCCCCTCGTTCGACCTGGGAGTCAGGTCGGCACGACGCTCCCCGGGCAGGGCCCGGCCTCGTCGATCCTCCCTCCTCCTCCCTCGACGTCCTCCCGCCTCCTCGACCCTCCCTTCTCCTCCCTCCCCCCTGCTCCTGCCCGATCCCCCCCCTCCTCCTCGATGCCCCCTCCCTCCCCCCCCCCTGCCCTGCGGCGCCCGACGGCCCGGCGGCGGCGGAGGGCCGCGCTCGCAGCCAGATTGGCTCCGGCTCCCGGCCCCCCGAGATGGCCCAGCCCTTCGGCGGCCATGGGGGCGGCCTTGGCGCCCCCCGCGCTTCGCCGCGCGCGCGCGCGCCCCCCCGCGCGTCGCCCTCTCCGCGGACCCGGCCCCGCCCGGCCCCCTCGCCCTCCTCGCCCTCCTCGCGGCCTCCTCGCGCTCTCCCGGCGCTCCCCGCGTTCCTCGCCGCCCCTCGTGCGGGGGCGCCCCCAGCGCACGGCCAAGGGGCGCTGAGGCAGGGGGGCCGCGCGGGGGGGGTCCGAGAGGCGCGTCTCCGGCCTTCGGGCCGTCCCCCACCGGGGTCCGGTCGGGGAGCCTCACACGGTGGGGGGCCCATGCTCGGGGGCTCCCAGGCGGGGTGGTGGCCACACTGTGTGGTGAGTCTCGCTGGGCCTGTTTTCCACCACCACCACCATAAGTTGGAGGGGGGAAGGAGCTGGATGAGGAGGAGGAGGAGGAGGAGGAGGAGGAGGAGGAGGAGGAGGACCCCCTCCTCCTCCTACTTATGGTGGAGGTGGTGGAAAACAAGCCCACCAGAGTCGGTGGGGGTTTGGGGTCACCGCACGGTTTTGGGACCCGGGTCGTTCTCCGAGGACGTCTCGGGCGGCGTCCCGGGCATCCGAGGTCCCAAAGCCGTGCGTTGGCGGACCGTGCGGTGAGATCTTGGGGGATTTCGATGTCCCCGCACGGTCTGTCACCGCACCGTTTCGGGACTCCAAACATGCCAAGAAACACCCTGCTTGCTTCCACTCTGCCCTGGGTTTCTTGGGTCTCGACGGTTTTGCTCATGGAGGGCGTGACGCTCCCGCGCCCAAAACGATGGATGTCCTGGGGTCTCAGGGTTGGGCTTCTTGTGGAAGGCTTCTTGTGGACGGACGTCCACTGTGGACTCGGGGCGACCAGACAGGGAAAGCGCACGAGGGGCCCCCTCAGGCTGGGGCCCCCCATGTCTAGGCCTCCCAGGTGGGGTCGGAGTGGACGGGGTCGGAGGATCGCGCCGCATCGCCGATGCATCGCCGATGCATCGACGATGCATCGACGATGCATCGGCGATGCGGAGCCCGATTTCTCCACGCCGACGTCGCCGATGCATCGCCGATGCATCGCCAGTGTATCACCGATGCGTCGCCGATGCGGCGCGATCCCCCGACCCCATCTACTCGGACCCCATCTAGGAGGCCTCTACCATGAAATGCCGGAGCCAGCGCCTCGCGGCCGAGGTTCGCCCTGGGTTCGAGGCCGAGGTTCGCCCTGGCCAGAGGCAAGCACTGTGGCGCCTTCTTCGGCAAGCCTTATGGCAGCACGACGACTGTGATGGGGGTAGGGCTGAATCGGGCACGTCCCTCTACCGGAGGAATATTCAAACATGTTTAAACATAGTATGGGGGCGATTGTTGTTGTTGCTGTTGTATCGTTTTGCTATGTTTGAGCATTTGTTTGACCATGTTGTATATTTCGTCAAATCCGCCTCTAGGAACTCATGCCCGACCTAAGGGTAGGGGCTCTAGGGAGTTGTGGATGCTGTGACCGGGGCCACGATGTGTCTCCCATCTGTCGTGGTCCCTTTTTGTTCAACGCGTCCCTTGACGTCCCCCCCCCCCGCCCGCGCACATGCCTCGGGCCGTGCTAGTCCACCCCTTTCCGGCCACCCTCTTCGGCGCACGCGACTCGACCGAGTGGTCCCAGCTGGACCGGGGGATTTCCCGCTGTGCGTGGAGGCAGAAAAGTCGGTTACATATTACACGCTGGTCGTTGGAAGTAGGCATTTTTGAATTCCCAGAACCCAATCTACTTCAAGCGCCTCCCTACTTCAATAATCGATATGTTTTTTTTCTGTGTTTCGTGATTCTCTGGGAGGGCCCGAACCCAATCTACTTTGTCCGCCTTCCTGCTTCATGCTTTTACCTACTTCTTCCGGCCGACGTGTAAATGTTCGACGAGGGTCCGCGCGGATTTCTCCCAACTGCGCTGGCCCCTCCTGGCGCCACCCCTGGCGCGCGCCGCGCGAAGGGGCGGGGGAGCCCGCTGCTGAACGAAGAAGTGCGCGCGGACCTCCGGAAGCTCATGTTTAGGCTCCGCCCACCCACCGTTACCAGTGCCATCACCTCGGCCACCCGGAGCTGTGCCAGATTGATTCCCTGAACTGCTTGTTTTGTGAGGGTTGTGTGGAATTTTGGGGAACTACACCTGCTGAGGCTAGAATGGACGATTTGGTAGACCGGAGGACCTGGCGGAACCTATGGCGCAATGATTCACCCGCTGAGGCAGCGGACGATCTGATGGCGCAACCCATGGCGCAATGGTACACACCCACTGAGGCAACGGACGATTTGGTTGATTGCAGGGTGCATGTCGCAACCGATGGCGCAGTGGTGCACTCGCGGAGGCAGCGGACGATGTGGCACCGATTCCCTGGTGCTGTCTGCTCATCCCGAGCATTATTGTTACGGCCCCCTTTTTGTCGCTCGTGCTTCCCTCGCTTGCTCCCCCTCGCATCCCGTCCCCGCTCCTCGCACGCCCCTCCCTTCCTTCGTGCGTTCTCCCCTCTCCGAAATGTTTTGTCGACGCGCCTGTGGGCGTACAGCTTCTGTCTGTCTGTCTGGGCTCCGACACTGGTCTCCCGGGGACCTAACTCAGGAGGAGGAGGAGGAGAAAGAGGCGGAGGAGGTGGAGGAGGTGGAGGGGGAGGAGGAGGAGGAGGAGGAGGAGGAGGAGGAGGAGGAGGAGGAGGAGGAGGAGCAGGAGGAGAGGAGGAGGAGGAGGGGAGGAGGAGGGAGGAGGAGGAGGAGGAGGAGGAGGAGGAGGAGGAGGAGGAAGAGGAAGAGGAGTTGGAGGAGTTGGAGGAGGAGGAGGAGGAGGAGGAGGAGGAGGAGGACGGGTCGCCTAAGCCCTTCGGAGAAACCCTCCACTCCTGGGGCCCAGACTCGCGAAGAAGCTGCCGCCTCGGTTGTTTCTCGCACGGCCCAGCTTCCTGGGCGCCCGTGTCCCAGACGCCGGCCTGTCCAAGAATCCCTCGAAGGGGAGCCCCCGCCCGTGGCGAGGAGAGGTTTCCCCCCCCCAAGTCCCAAGAGGGTGCGGGGACCTGCAGCACACAGGTGGTCGTCATGTCGGGCATATCCCTCTACAGGAGGAGTATTCAAACATAGTCAAAATAGTCTGGCGACGTTTTTTAGTATTGCTGAGTATTTGTTTGACTATCATCAATTGTTTCATTCAAACTCCGCGCCCGACCTAAGCGTAGCCCGAATTTGTTTCTCGCGAGGTAAACTGGACTGGATGGGACTGGGCTGGACTGAGTAAACTGAATTGAACTCAGCTGATCTGGCTGGTCGCGCTCGTTGCGCGACGTCTTTATTCTCGGCGACACAGGGCGCAACCCAAGGCGCCACCGATAGGAGACGGTTTTATTCTCGGCCGCCGCCGTAGCCATTTTGGCTCAAAATCATGCCTCCCCCCGAGGAGGACACGGATACCGCTAGTCCGCGGCTCGCCCCCAGTCTTCTTGCTGGCGCCGCTGCGCTCAGCAAACTCACCCTACTGTGTCTGCTGACCGTACTCGTTTGGGAGCTGACGCCATGGCGGAGCATTGGAAGTGCAGCTGCGGTGAGTTCAATACCAAGGGCCGACGGACTTGCAACAACTGTGGAGATGCCAAGCCACCGCCTCGTCCATGGAACGGCGGGCCGAAAGGGGCCGATTTCTGGATGCAGCGCAATGGGCAGCAAGGAGGATGGAAGCCTTGGACCAAGCAGGGAGGTGCCCCGCAGGCACAGCGACAGCAGCCCGCCGCAGGAGCGACCCTTTCGCCCAGCGATGTCAAGGAGTGGTCCGAGCTTCCTGCAGACGTCTACGAGAAGACGAAGAGCGCCTTGTCCCATTCTTCCAGGCAGAAGGTTGAGTACGCCAGGCGGGCTGCTGCTGCTGGGCTGCTTGGCGCTGCTGGTCGAGAAGCTCCTCAGGCCGTCGACAAAGCCGCCAGGGCCCTCCAGAACGCGAAGGACCGCTTGGCAAGCAACAAGGACAAGGCTTTCAAGCTGCTGGAGGCGGTGTCAACCTCAGAGGCCGGGGTGGCTAAGTTGGAGAAGGAGCTCGAGTCTGCGAAGCAGGACGCGGCGAAGCTGCACGGTGCATGCGCGTCCGCAGCTGGAGCGTTCACGGCGCAGCAGCTCAAGGCCAAGATCGGGGAGATCCCCACGGAGGGCATCTCGCTTGCCGACTTCCTCAAGTCCCTCCAGGCTGCGGTCGACGAGCTTGACAGCGCTAGCAGGCCGACCGAGCCACAGCAGCACGAGGCGCATGCAGCTCAAGTGCCAGTCCCCCCCCCTGAAGGAGCAGCAGCTGGAGGAGAAGCGGCCGCCGCTGAGGGCGGCCCTTCGCAAGGGACCTCGCCCGACGAGGCTTTCGAAGCTTTTTGGCTGGCGATGATCCTGGCGGCCTGCTGGGTTCTTGTCAGGACGAGGGGGGGCGCAAGCGGCTTGCCGAGGCCATGGGGACCATCCGCACTGCACAGCGATCCAAGACGGCAGGCGGGTAGCTCTACCAAGAGGCGGTGGTGGACGGCGCTCGCCATCAATGCCAACGCCTACAGCGGGTTCGAGGCGCTGCTCGACGAGAACCAGGTGCGCAACGCAGACATGATTGCGGTGCAGGAGACCCACCTTTCCGACTTTCGGCGCGCAGAGGTGACCGACAAGTTCAAGAAGCAGGGCTGACGTGCCCTCGCGTGCCCCGCAGTGGGCACGGGCCCAGGCCTTCACGGCCACGGTGGGCTACTGCAGCTGGCGCCGCGCGCGCACGGCCTCGGCGCATTCGAGATGAAGAGCGGGTTTGAGCTCGTCCCTGGCAGGGCGTCGGTCGCCCACTTCGCTGGCCTCGTGCTTGGCGGAGTTGCCTGGTTCAACGTCTACCTCAAGGACAGCGAGGGCATTTCCGACTTCAACTACCAGGTGCTGCAGGCCGTCTTCCGCGCGGCGAAGCAGATCGCCAAGCCCATCATCATTGGTGGCGACTTCAACCTGGAGCCGCAGGAGTTGGCGGCGTCAGGCTTTCTCAGCGCACTCAAACTCAAGGTGGTCGCCCCCGCCGAAGGCACCTGCCGACCCGGGGGGCGCATCGTCGATTACTGGGCCATCAGCGCGACCTTCGGCGTAGCAGAGGCCAAGGTGCTGCAAGGCTGGAACCTGGCTCCGCACTTCCTTGTCCAGCTTGGGGTTGACGGCAGCATCTTCGCCATGAAGATGCAGAACATGGAGATCCCCAAGCGCCTGCCCTGTCCGCTGCCCGCCGCGTGCTGCAGCAGGGACCGCTCAGCTCACTGGGGGGCCACTCGGCAGGCCATGCAGGCCACGAGGTCGCTTTCCTCGCGCTGGCAGCTGTTCGTCTACCAGGCCGAGTGGAACATCATCGACGCCGTGGGCTTGGCACGCGAGCACGACGACTACGCAGGCCGCGGCGCCAGGCCCCGCATCAAGATGGCCAAGGTTGCGGTACCCAGCCCGCCACGCATTCCCAAGTGCTCCAAGGCCGCCTCCTGACACAAGAAGGTGGCGATAGCGATCAAGGGTTGCGCGCAGTTCGACATTCCCCCCCGTCGGCTTCGGGCGCTGCGGGTCCTCAGCAAGATGACGGGCGATGACTTGGTTCAGACCACCGACCATCGCAAGCTGAATACGATCACCATCTTCGCTACGTTGGCGGAGGCCACGCCCTTCCTGGACATTGGCACGCTGCAGGGCATCGCCGCTCACGTCGACGCGGCTGCCGACAAGTTGGTCCAGAAGGAGGCCGACGCGAGGCAGGCGAGCTACAACGACTGGGTGATCGACCACCACACTAGAGGCACGGGGGCCCTCCACGCCCTCACCAGACCTCCACAAGGCTGGGCTCCTCGCCTTACCGGGGCGTCCCCCGATGGCTCTCCTCCCACCCTCCAGGAGACGGTCGCTGCCTTGGTGAAGGAATGGTTTGGGTGTTGGGGCCTGGGGGGCCCCACCTCCTCCTGCGTCAGCTCGCAGGAGGCCCGCATCAACTGGCCCGACGGGCTTGGCGAGAGGCCGCCCAGGCCCACAGCCGAGGAGGTCGGGAAGGTTATCGCCAGCTTCAAGGAGGCCACGGGTGCGTCCTTCGACTCGCTCAGGCCCAGGGAGCTGCAGCTAATGGACGACGAAGGCATCGAGGCCATGATCGGCTTGTTTGACGCGATAGAGCAGAGGTGCGAGTGGCCTGGCTTCGTCACCAAGATGGCCTTCATCCCCAAGACGGACCAAGGACTTCGCGCAATCGCGCTGCTGGGGGCTCTCGCGCGCATCCACGGAAGATTGCGACGGCCAGTCGCGAAGCAGCGGGAACGGGAGCACGACAGGCCATACTGGTGGGCCAGCGCGGGCAAGAGCTGCGACCGTGCCGTGTGGCAGCAGCAGGCCAGGGCCGAGTGGGTCCACATGGTGGGCGCGCTCTACGAACAGCATGACTGGGCCTCGGCGTCGATCCCCCTCGACCTCTGGAAGGCTTTCGAGCAGATGCTGCACAGCCAGCTCCTGAAGGCCTGCCAGGCCCACAATTCCCCGCTCTGGCTGGCCAAGCTGCAGATTAACCTGTACGGGATGCCCCGCGTGGTCTGCCTGGAAGGCTGTTGCTCGGATGAGCTGGCGGTGATGCAAACGGCGCTGGCAGGCGACGCGTTCGCCACGACGTTCATGAAGGTGATGCTCCCCACGCCGTTGGATACGATGGTGATCAAGCACCACGCGGTGGTTCCCGCAGTGGTCGTGGACGACCTGGTGATGCAGCGCTGGGGCGGCACCAGCAAAGTTGAGAAGGACCTGATCGCCAGTGCCAAGCTCCTGGTCAAGGAGCTCAGCAAGGTGAAGCTCAAGGCCGCTACGAAGAAGTCCAGGATCCTCGCTAGCAGCGCTCAGCTGGGGAAGGGACTCCAGGCCAAACGCATCAAGGCTTGCGGTGCTGTTGCAGCGGCGAGCGTGCGCAACCTTGGAGTCGACCACGCTGAAGGAGGGCGGTGTGCCAGCGCGGTGCGCAAGCTGCGCATGGCCAACGCCAAGGCGAGGCTCCCTCGCATCAAACGACTGCTGGGGCATCGGCGAGGCCGAACAGCCGCGGCTAAGGTCGCCTTCGCAGGCCTCATGCCCAGCATAATGTACGGCGTCTCGTGCACTGGGATGTCGGACAGCGAGCTCAAGCACACCAGGGCGCTGGTCGTCGAGGCAATCGAGCCAAGGCCGCAGGGCAAGTCCACAACTGGCTGCCTCGCCTTCGGCGGGCCGGGCGAGATCGACCCGATGTACGGCGAAACCTTGGCGCCTGCCTGCACCCTTGCACGTGCGCGCTGGGAAGGCTGGGTTCCCGCAGGAGTGCTCAAGTCGACCTCCGACGGCTTCGCGAGACACGTTCGCAGCTGGAGTGGGGTCCGAGGGCCTATCTCTGCGGCAGTCTCGACGCTCAGGCGGGTCGGCTACGACTTGCGCAGCTTCGACCAGTGGCTCAGGCACAGCACCTGCGAGACCATTGACATCACAAGACCTTCCCCCTGGTACATCAAGCAGGTGCTGCGCAAGGACGTGCAGGCCTGGCAGCTACGACAGCTGGCGGCGGACACACGCGAGGGCATCACCAACGGCGCCTTCGCCCCACAGGTGCGCAGGTGGCTCAGCACAGGCAAAGCCTCCACCTTCGAGGGCCGCAGGTGGAAGCCCCTGGACGACAAGCAGCGGGGCTACGTGAGGTCTCTGCTGGTGCACGGCGAGTGGCTCAACCAGCGAAGGTTTGAGGCAGCGCCGAGGCCCGCTCCTGCACCGCACTGTGAGCCACACCCGCACTCCCTGGGCACCCTGTGGCACCGCCACCTGGAGCTCTGCGACAGCTGGCCCAGCTTCGGGCTGCCTGAGGAGCTGGAGAAGTTTAAGCAGTTCGAGTCCAGCATCACGATCAAAACTCTGTTCGGGCGGCTCCTGCTGCCCGAGCCCAGCCACGACTGGCGCCCCCCGCAGGGCGACCTGCCTCAGGGGCCGCGGTGGCTCAAAGGGGACGCCGACCCGTTCATCAACACCGAGCTGTTCGCCGACGGCTGTTGCTTCGAGGCTGGCACTTCGCTGGCTATGGCAGGATGTGCAGTAGTCGAGTTGCCGCCTGGGCCAGAAGGAGAAGACCCAGGCAAGGGATCGTGCGTCAAGGCCATGGGCGCCCTTGTGCCTTGGCCAATCCAGTCAATCGACGGCGCAGAGCTGCTCGCGCTCTACGCGATCCCCAGGCACTCGCTTCCTCCCACCACGGCCAACTTTGACGCCGAGTATGTGGGCAAAGGCTTGATGGAGAGAGGGCGCGAGGCCACTACCTCGCATAAGTCCGCCTGGGGAGAGATCTGGCGCAGGATTTGGCACGCGCTGGGCGACTTCGGCGACCTCAGCAGCGACGGCCTCGCGGTGCGGAAGGTCAAGGGCCACGCGACTTTCAAGGGGGTGGACGAGGGCAAGATCACTCTCCGCAGTCGGCGGGGCAACCACGAAGCTGACCGAGCGGCGAAGTTCGTCACGGAACGCTTCAGGGCGCCGCCGCAGGCGCGCGAGGCCAGGGGGACAAGGGCGCTTACCTTGGACGGTGCGGTCTTCTGGGTATCGCAGGCAGGCGCCGAAGCTGCTGACCTCAGGACCGACTTTCGTGACAAGTACAGGGGGCCCGAGTCCAAGGACCCCAGGCTCTACATCACCAAGCACGAGCTGGTCAATAGCAAGGGCGGAGCAGAGGGCGTTCAGGCGCTCCACTGTCTGCGCTGCTCGCGGTCGGCCTTCACTGACATCTCGACCAAGAACCTCCCAAGGCAGAGCTGCACGCCGAAGGCCTTCGCTCCCGACGCCTACACCAGTGGGGGCAAGACGCGGCCGAGCGCCTCGGCCCTGGCGCACGCTGGAGCCGCCGCGGTGGCGGTCGCAGCAGCCCGCCGTTTCGTTGAGGACGAGAGCCAGCCCACCCATGCCAGCGGTGAGGCATGCAGCAGCGAGGCGAGCTCCTCCTTCGTTCAGCATCGTGGCGAAAGTCAGATTCTGGGATCCGTCGGTGACGGTGACCTGCGTGCTGGCGAGGGCGGTCAGCAACGTGGCGAAAGCCAGATTCTGGGATCCGTCGGTGACGGCGACCTGCGTGCTGACGAGGAGCAGCCGTCGGCGGGCTCCTCTCCCTTTCAGCATCGTGGCGCGAGCCAGAGTCTGGGATCCGTCGGTGACGGTGACCTGCGTGCTGACGAGGAGCCGCCGACGGCAGGCGACGGGGGAGCCAAGGCCCAGCCTGCGGCGCCGCCGCCCAGCGGCTCTGGCGCGCTCGACGTGGACGGAGGCGGCCACGACCTGCGCACGTACTTCGGGCACCGCGTCTGCCTGAAGCGCCTGAAGGGCAAGCGCAGCACAGGGGACTCGGCCTGGCCTGTGCCCCAGCGCTCAAGCCCAGCGCCCATGCGGAGCGCAGGAGGAAGGCCGAGAAGATCATGAGGGGAGTGGCTCCGTCTGGGAGGCCACTCGCGTGACGGCGTCGCGGCGGGCTCCACGTCTACTGAGCTGCCGCCCGCGACGCAGCTGCGTCGCCGCCGCTCTGCCCTGTCGAGTTGCCGCCGTTTGCGGCGACTCCAGAGGCGGCCAACAGGGCTGCCGTGCGGCCTGCGACGCAGGAGCTGGACGTGCGCGCTGCGCGCACTCAGGCTGCTAAGGAAAACTTCTCGGCCGCCGAGGGCACAACCTATGGCTCAACCGACAGGAGACGGCTTTATTCTCAGCGGCTGAGGGCGCAACCTATGGCGCAACCAATTGGAGGCGGTTTTATTCTCGGCCGCAGAGGGCGCAACCTACGGCGCAACCAGTAGGAGACGGTTTTATTATTGGCGGCCGAGGTCACAACCTATGCAGCAACCGCTCGGAGACTGTGTTATTCGTGGCGGCCGAGGGCGCAACCGATGGCGCAACCTATAGGAAACGGTCTTGTCATTGGCCGCTGAGGGCGCAGCCCATGGCGCAACCATAGGAGACGGTTTAGGAAGCAACCTATGGGCCAACCAACGAGAGACGGCTTTATTCTCGGCCGCAGAGGGCACATCTTATGGCGCAGTCAATTGGAGATGGTTTGATTCTCGGCGGCCGAAAGTTCAACTATGGTGCAAGCTATAGGTCACGGCTATATTATCTTGCTCAGTGTGTCTAGAGCTCCGACGACCTATTTCGGCACGGCACCGGTCGATGCAGCCCCTAGGCCCCCACCTCCCAGCGCGTCCCTCCGCATCCACATTCTAAAGCAGCCGTGCCGAAGCCCCTCGGCTCTCCGCATCCCTCCCGCGCCAGCCAGCGCAGCCAGCTCGCCAGCCAGCGCGCCCTTTCGGCATCGGTCCCACCAGCCAGCGCGCCCCCTCCGCCCCAACCGCTGCATTTCGGCACGGCACCGGTCCCACCAGCCAGCGCGCCCCCTCCGCCACCACCGCTTCATTTCGGCACGGCCGTGCATGGTCCCACCAGCCAGCGCGCCCCCTCCGCCCCGACCGTGTTTTTTTCGGCATGGCACGGGTCCCACCAGCCAGCGCGCCCCCACCGCCCCGACTGCTTTATTTCGACGCGGCACCGCCCCCCTGCACCTTCCGCGCAGCCAGTTCCTCCGCCTCGACCCCAGCTCGCCCCCTCCGCCTCGACCGCTTCATTCCGGCACGGCACCAGTCCCACCAGCCAGCGCGTTCCCACCATTCAGCGCCCCCCCCTCCCCACCAGCCAGCGCAGCCAGCCCAGCCAGCGCGCCCCCACCGCCCCGACTGCTTTATTTCGACGCGGCACCGCCCCCCTGCACCTTCCGCGCAGCCAGTTCCTCCGCCTCGACCCCAGCTCGCCCCCTCCGCCTCGACCGCTTCAATCCGGCACGGCACCAGTCCCACCAGCCAGCGCGCCTCTTTTTGCCCCGACCGTTTCATTTCGGCACGGCACCGGCCAGAGCCCCCCCTCCGCCCATAACCTGTTCATTTCGGCACGCCCCCCCCTTGCGTCCCTCGCGCAGCCAGCCCCTAAGCCCCGACCCCCAGCGCGGGCCCTCCGCCCCCGCGTTTTTTTTTGGCACGGCACTGGCCCCACCAGCCAGCGCGAGTCTCCTCCTCGACCCTTTGATTTCGGCACGGCACCGGCCCCGCCAGCCAGCGCGCCCCCTCCGCCCCGACATCGTTCTTTCGGCACGGCACCGCCCCCCCTCCCTCACCAGCCAGCGCGGCCCCCTCCGCCCCGACTTCTTCATCCACCAGCCAGCGCGCCCGTTCCGCCCCGAATGCTATATTTCGGCACGGCGGAGGTCCCACCAGCCAGCGCGCCCCCTCGCCCCGACCGCTTTATTTCGGCACAGCACTGCCCCCCCACCAGCCAGCGCGTTCCCTCCGCCCCAACCCCTTTCTTTCAGCACGGCACCGACCTCGCCCCCGCACCGCCCGCGCAGCCAGCCCGTCCGCCTCGACCCCAGCGCGGGCCCTCCGCCCCGACCGCCAACCCCCCTCCTCGCCATCCCCGCGCCCGAGTCTCCGCCTCCCTTTTATTTCATCACGGCACCAGTCCCGGCCAGCGCGCCCCCTCCGCCCCGCCTTTTTGCTCTACCAGCCAGCGCGCCCGCTCCGCCCCGACCGCTTTATTTCGGCACGGCGCTGGTCCGACCAGCCAGCGCTCCGCTCCGACCATTTTATTTTGTTTGTGCAGTGTATCTAGAGCTCCGACCACCTTGTCTTGGCACGGCACCGACCCCCCATCCCGCGCTCCACCTCCGCATCACCCCGACCACCAGCCAGCGCCTTCCCTCCGCCCCAACCCCTTTATTTCGGCAGGGCACCGCCCCCCCCCATCCCGAACGCTCCATCCGCACCCCTTCGCCCGCCAGCCAGCGCGCCCCCTCCACCACGACAGTTTTTTTTCGGCACGCCACCGCCTCCCCCATCCCGAGCGCCACCTCCATCACCCCACCCACCAGCCAGCGCACCCCCTCCGCCCCGACATTTTTGATTTCGGCACGGCACCGCCCCTCTCCCCCCGCGCGCCCCCCCCCCCCCCCCCCCGCATCCCCCAACCACCAACCAGAGCGACCATTCCGCTCCGACCCCTTTAATTCGGCACGGCACCGCCTCCCCCATCCCGCTCGAATCCCCCGCGCCCTCCCACCCACCAGCCAACGCGCGCTCCCTTTGCTATAGACCCTCCGCATCCTCACACCTACCAGCCAGCGCGCCCCCTCCAGCCAGCGCCCCTCCCGCAGCCCCCCATCCACCAGACAGCACGCCCCCTCCGCCCCGACACCTTCATTTCGACACGGCACCGCCCCCTCCGCCCAGACCTTGTCATTTCGGCAAGGCACCTGGCCCCTCCGATCCCGCATGCCACCCCTACATCACCCCACCCACCAGCCAGCGCGCCCCATCCGCCCCGACCGCTTTCTTTCGGCACGGCACCGCCCCCCCAATCCCGCGCGCCCCCCCTGCATCAGCCCACACCAATCAGCGCGCCCCCCCCGCCCCGATCCTTTTTTGTTCGGCACAGCACCGCCCCCCCTCCCATCACGCGCGCCCCCTCTGCATCCCCCCGCCTGCCAGCCAGAGCGCCCCCTCCGCCCCGGCCTCTTCATTTCGGCACGACACCGCTCCCCCTGCTTCCCGCGCGCCTTTTTTTCCGCATCCCCCACCCACCAGCCAGAGCGCCATCTCCGCTGCGACCCCCTTTTTTCGGCACAGCACCGCCCCGCCCCGACCCCTTCTCATAGGCCCGCCGCCCGCGCCCACTCCGCTCCCCCCCACCCGCCCGTCAGCGCGCCCCCTCCGCCCCGACCCCATTATTTCGGCGCGGCACCGCCCCCTCCGCCCTGACTCCTTCCAGTTCGGCACCGCCCCCCCCCCCATCCCGAGCCCCCTTTTCCGCATCCCCCCGTACACCAGCCAACGCGCCCCCTCCTCCCCGACCTTTTTCGTTTCGACACGGCACCGCCCCCCCCATCCCAAGTGCCTTCCGCTCCCCATCTCCTCGATCATTTCTGTCATGTGTCCCGCATTGCGCGTGCTGTCTTGGCAGGCCGCGTGCCAGAGGCCAGGGCCTCGCCCACTTAGCCTCAGATGTGCTCGGGTGACCGCGGGGCAGCGTTATCTCCGTTCGTTCTCTGCTCTTTACGTCCCCCCTTCCTGCGGGCCGGAACCATCACCATGTCTGGTTGGCCTGCTTTCCACCACCACCACCATAAGTTGGAGGGAGCGGGGATCCCCCTCCTCCGCCTCCTCCTCCTCCTCTTCGTCCTTGTCCTCCTCCTTGTTTTCCTCATCCTCCCCCCGTCTAACGTACAGTGGTGGTGGTGGTGGTGGTGGTGGTGGGAAACAGGCCCATGAACATCCGCAGCCTCGCGGCCGCATGTCGCGGACGCGGCCCCCCATGGACACGAGGCGGCGCTGCGCGGCTGGCCCGCGCGGAACGGATCCACAGGGTCGCGTATCCGCGGCACCGCGCCCGTGTGCCCAGGCCGCGGAGGCACGCATCTGCACGGCAGGTTCGCGTCGTGCCGACCGGCGGCGACCCCAGCGCGTGCGCTGAAGGTTGAACGCCGCCCGTGGCCCAGAGTCGGCCCGTCGTCGAACGGTCCGGCGTTCACGGAACGGCCGCTCGTTCAAGTTTGCACGACCCCCTGCGGTGTCAGGAACCAACGCCGGGGTCGACACGACGCGAATTTGCCTTACATTCAGGAGGAAAAGAAACACACAGACACAATTAATCCTCGATTCCCCAGAAAATATGGAAAAATATGGGAAGTGGGGGGGAAGACAGAAACCCAGAAAATATGCGAAAATATGGTACATCTTTTTATTTGTGTGCATTTATTTGTGTGTCCTGGGGCCCCTTCATACATGTCCGTCGCTGATCCTCCCCTCCCCGCCCCTCTCGGTGCCAGCGCAGGCGCGCCGAGCTTCGGCGCGCCCGTCGCCGCCACCAGCAAGGCCACCTCAGGGGGGGCGGGAGCGGCGGGGGGAGCGCTCCGCACACCTCGGGCTAAGGTGTCCCACGCTTGTCGCTGTGTGGGGCACCCCCGGGCCCTTCGTCAGAGCCCCGAATCATCAGGGGTAACTCGGGTCAGGGGTAACTCGGGTTCCTTTTTCGGGAGTCCGAACCCGACTTACCCCGGACCCGAGTTACCCCGGATAACTCGGGCGTCCAGAGCCCCGAATCATCAGGGGTAACTCGGGTCAGGGGTAACTCGGGTTCCTTTTTCGGGAATCCAAACCCGAGTTACCCTGGACCCGAGTTACCCCGGATAACTCGGGCGCCCAAGGATAGAAACTCTTGGAAAGAGGCCCCTCGGCTCCGGGACCCGTTTCGCGAGGGACCCCTGTTTCGTTCGTGCCAAGCTCGCGTCTCTGGACGGCGAGCGCCCGAGGTGCGACAAGCGCCCATGCTGAGGTCTTCGAGCGTTCTCGTCGGTCCCCAGAGGTGTCCTCGGGCTGCTGTCAGGGGTTTCCGGTCCCGCTATCGCCGGTTTCCCCTCCCCCAGCTAGTGACTAGTGCCCCTGCAACGCTGCCCATCAAGGATCAAGGATGAGGAATGGGGGTGAGAGAAGAAGTGGAGCAACAGCAGCAGCAGCAGCAGCAGCAGCAGCAGCAGCAGCAGCAGCAGCAGCAGCCAGGGGAGACAAGTAGGAGACGGAGGGTGACACTTCAAATCAATGGCAGAATCCATCCTACGCTTCCCTGCCGCCATCCTCCCTCCGCCTACTCCCCCTTAGTGTATCCAGCATCATCCCCTGTCCTCCCCCCTCCGACTGTCTCCTTCCTTCTCCCCCCCTCCTCCCTCCTACTTCTCCTCGGATCTCCTCCTCCTCCTCCTCCTCCTCCTCCTCCTCGAACTCTTCGTCCTCCTCCCATCCCTCGTATCTCGGGCCTGCCTCTCGGGCGGCATGTCAGTCCCATGCCGCATGTTCCAATCCACCGCACTCGCGATCCAGGTGTCGTCTCCCTCCCCTCGAGAAGAGACGGGGGATGGTGACTACGATGAGTGGTGATGATCCTGATGAGTCGTCCTGATGGTGATACACGAGGAAAGAGGAGATGAAGCCAAAGTGTGTGTGTGTGTGTTTGTGTTAGTTTAGATTTTCGGTGCTGCTGGGCTGTTTTAGTATCTGGGCTTCGGTTGGTGATCAGGCCACCCCTGCCTCGCTACCCCCCCTCCCTCCCATAGAGAGGCAGGGGTGGAGCCGATGGAGGACGGAGGGAGGAGGAGGAGGGAGGGAGGGAGGAGGAGGAGCGGGGATGAACGCGATGGAGGGAGGGAGGGGGGCTTCCTCCTCCATCGCCGTTTGCTTGACCCGAGGGGACCCGTCGCGTTTGCGGTGCCGACGAGGATGGACGTGGACGTGGACGTGAGAGGAGAGGACGACGACGAGCTTGATGATGGCGATGGCGATGACGACGGAGATGATCATGGCGATGACGATATTGATGCCCACGCCCTTCGTGGGCCTTGGACAAGACAGGGCAGTTTTTAACGGGTCCGTTTTGCAGTGTTTGTTGCTTGTTCTGGCGCCGTTTTGTCCCTGGGTCCGTCGCCCGTTTCAACTATGGTCGGGGTTCCGGTTCCAATCCCAGAGCCATTTTCGGGGGATGGGCACAGGAACGTCAGATGAAGACGAGTTCCGACGCCTTCGTCAATGCCGCCGGGTGGCTGGGACCAAGTCACGGGACCCGTTGGGACCGTCCTCTATACCTTCCGTCGCCGTGGCTGGACCGCCCGAGGATTCTCCGCGGGTTTCTCTGTGGACCCTGGAGTCCTCGGGAAAATGCCCCTTCAGGTTCTGGCCAAACAGGGCACCAAACGAGTGCTTGCGCAGAGTACATCTGACGTGCTTCATGGACTTTCTGCGGTCCCCCTGCTGGTGCCCATCGTGCAAAAGTGGCAGCCCCTCCGTGCTAAGGTTACGGGCTCGAGATTGTCACCGTTGCGAGAGTTGTCGTTGGAGGCTCTGCTTAAGTCGAGCACGTCCCACTACAGGAGGAATCTTCAAAAATAGTGTAAAACAATTGTCGGAGACTATTTTTAAGACTGTTTCTAATTATTCGGGGGGTATTTTGTCATTATTTCGCAACCACTATTTGGAAGCATTTCCCAACCATCCTGTGGTGTTGGGTCCTCGTTTTGAAGAGACGGTCCCCGCGTTCTCCTCCTCCCGCCTCCTTCCTCCCGCCTCCTCCCCCTCGTCCCTCCTCCCCCTCCTCCTTCCTCCCTGCGTTTCGCCCACCCAGCAGAGTGATTCGTGACCCCGAAGGGAGCTCCACCGAAGGCGCCAGTGGATGGTGGCCTCGGGCCATTTCGGCACAGCTCTCATGAGGATCGTGGCCCCGTGGGGAGCTCCACCGAAGGCGCCAGTGGCAGGGTTCGCATGGCGGCCTCGAGCCATTCCGGCACACCTTTCACGAGGATCGTGTCCCCATAGGGAGCTCTACCGAAGGCGCCAGTGACAGGGTTCGCATGGCGGCCTCGGGCCATTCCGGCACACACCTCACGAGGATCGTGGCCCCGTAGGGAGTTCCACCGAAGGCGCCAGTGGCAGGGTTCGCGGCCTCGGGCCAGTTCGGCAGACCCCTCACGAGGATCGTGGCCCCATAGGGAGCTCCATCGAAGGCTCCAGTGGCTGGGTTCGCATGGCGGCCTCGGGCCATTTCGGCGCACCCCTTACGAGGTTCGTGGCTCCATAGTTGTGCTGCTTCAATAACCGCGCCTGGGCGTCGTACTCCGCCTTGTCGGCGTGCATCGCCACGTCCTCCCTCACGGTTCTCAGAGCCGTCTCTTGCTTCTGCTCCTCTGTCAGAGGGACGCCGTCCTCGTCGTCGCCGGCGCCCGCGAAGACGGCCACGAACGTGTCCCTTTGCATGTCGAGCTCCGGTGGGCGAAGATATTATTCACAATTGCGGTATTCTCAACTGCATATGGTTGGGTCCTTCGCCAGGCTAATACTGATTGTTTCCCAACCATCCTGTGGTGTTGGATCCTCGTTTGAAGAGACGGCGCCTCGCTTTCTCTTCCTCCCGCCTCCTTCCTCCCGCCTCCCCCCCTTCGTCGCCATCGTCATCTCCTTGCCTCTGCCATCCGCATGTCTCTGTTTCGGCACGCCCAGCGCAGCGTTTCGTGACCCCATAGGGAGCTCCACCGAAGGCCTCAGTGGCAGGGTTCGCATGACGGCCTCGGACCATCTGGGTACACCTCTCACGAGGACCGTGGTCCAAAACGGAAAACCGCCGAAGGCGCCAGTGACAGGGTTCGCATGGCGGCCTCGGGCCAGTTCGGCAGACCCCTCACGAGGATCATGGCTCCGTGGGGAGCTTTACCGAAGGCGCCAGTGGCTGGGTTCGCATGGCGGCCTCCGGCCATTTCGGCACACCCTTCACGAGGATCGTGGCCCCATACGGAGCTCCACCGAAGACGCCAGTGGCAGGGTTCGCATGGCGGCCTCGGGCCATTTCGGCACACCCTTCACGAGGATCGTGACCCTATATGGGGCTCCACCGAAGGCGCCAGTGGCTGGGTTCGCATAGCAGCCTCGGGCCATTTCGGCACCCCCCTCACGAGGATCGGTGGCCCATAGAAACTCCACCGAAGGCGCCAGTGGCTGGGTTCGCATGGCGGCTTCGGGCCATTTTGGCACACCGTTCACGAGGATCGTGGCCCCATACGGAGCTCCACCGAAGACGCCAGTGGCAGGGTTCGCATGGCGGCTTCGGGCCATTTCGGCACACCTCTCAGGAGGATCGTGGCCCCGTGGGGAGCTCTACCGAAGGCGCCACTGGCAGGGTTCGCATGGCGGCCTCGGGCCATTTGGGCACACTCTCACGAGGATCGTGGGCAAGTAGGGAGTTCCACGGAAGGCGCCAGTGGCAGGGTTCGCATGGCGGCGTCGGGCCATTGCGGCACACTCCTCACGACGATCGTGACCTCATCGGGGCTCCACTGCAGGCACCGGTGGCAAGGTTCGCATGGCGGCCTCGGGCCATTGCGGCATACCCTTCACGAGGATCGCGGCCCCTTGGGGAGCTCCACCGAAGGCGCCACTGGCAGGGTTCGCATGGCGGCCTCGGGCCATGTCGGCACCCCCCTCACGAGGATCATGGCTCCGTGGGGAGCTTCACCGAGGGCGCCAGTGGCAATGTTCGCATGGCGGCACTGCCCAATGTCGGCGCACGCCTCACGAAGATCGTGGCCCATAGGAATTCCACCGAAGGCGCCGGTGGCAGGGTTCGCGTTGCGGCACCGCCCAATTTCGGCGCACCCCTCACGAAGATCGTCCCTCCATAGGAGCTCCACTGAGGATGCCAGTGGCAGGGTTCGCATGGCGGCCTCGAGCCATTTCGGCGCACCCCCCTCACGGGGATCGTGGCCCCATAGGGAGCTCCACAAAGGGCGCCAGTGGTAGGGTTCGTATGGCGGCCCCGGCCACGTACGAAGCTCCACAGAAGGCCCGAGTGGCAGGGTTCGCCTGGCGGCACCGCTCCATTTCGGCGCACCCCTCACGAGGATCGTGGCCCCACAGGAGGCTCCACCAAGGGCGCCAGGGGCAGGGTTCGCCTGGCGGCACCGCCCCATTTCGGCACACCCCTCACGAGGATCGTGGCCCCGTGGGGAGCTTCACCGAAGGCCCCAGGGGCAGGGTCTGCATGCGGTTCCCCGCCCATTTCGGCACACCCCTCACACGGTTCGTGGCCCCATAGAGAGGCCCGTCGAGCGATGGACCCAGGACGCGGTATCCACAACTGTTTATGGTTGGGTCTTTCGCCAGGCTGATTTTTATTTGTCTTCCAACATCCGCCTGCAGGGGGACATGCCCGACCTAAGGCTGCGCTACCCAGAAGGCCCTGTTCGAGGGGCGCCGCGTCCTGAGCCCTTTCTGTGAGTGGTGCGGCGCCTTCGGCGGCAAGCCCAGACATCGGCTTATCGGCTGCGACGGCAGCTTTGCGGTGCGTCAGAATTTGTTGATTCGAAGGTTCATGTTGGCTAAAGGGCGGGATGCGTCTGACAACGACCTTGGCTTCTCCAGGGCCCATTTTCCGAGCCCTGAGTGGACCTAGCCAAGTTTTTGTTGGATGGTGCACCCCCTTCTGGCAGCCTCGAGACGGGCCAAATCTGTTTTGATGATTCTGCGTTTGACCCCATCCGCGATGTGTTCGCGAAGGCCGGTTGGGGAGGCGCTCCTGTGGATGAGGGGGGGATCACGGGCACGATCGATGGGCATGCGGCATCTCCCCCATCCGCTCGGCTGGGCGGGTGGAGGAGAGGTCTACGCCCTCCCAATGTCCTTCAGGAGCCCTGGGGCGTGCGAAACAAAGTTAGCCACTGATGGCCAGATGGTCCTGGACATTTGGGCTAAAGGACCGGTCGAAAGTTGCGGTCGGCGAGCTGCGGTATAACATCCTCCCTGGGGCCAGGAATGTGGGGTTGCCCCTCTCAACCCTCGCCAGCATCAAAGGTCACATGTCTCGGGTCCGCGCCCTGGACCAACGGATCCGTTTCTTGGCTAGGGTTGGGAGCCGCGAGGCTGATACACTGGCCAGGCTGGGGGCTGAGATGCGCCCGCGCAACCCTGAAGTGCGGAGACTGGCTATAGCCCAGGAGACCCAGGTCAGCCAGATCGCGACCCCTCATCCAGACCACGATGAGGACGCTATCCCAGCTCGGCCTCCCGGATGTCCAAATAGTCAGAGCAACATTGCGCACCCGTCCGTCTCAGCTCGAATTGTTGCCAGAAGTTCGAGGCCACCGCCTGGTCCGTGTCAACCAGAATGGTAGGTATCAGTGAACTGTTTGTAGAGTGGCGGGCGGTAGGGTAGATATTTGCAGGGTGGTATGCCGTGGCGTTCGCAGGATCGCGAGGTTCTGCCCACCAGACTCATTCTCTCTGATTGCAGGTGGGTCGCGTCGTTTGGTGCTCCAGGCGTGGTGTTTTGGGGACCTCTCGGTCGAATCTGCAGTCTGCCACGGCCCTCCCCGTTAGAAGCACGCCAGCAAGAGCCTCCAGATGCTCACAGCTGGCGTGGACCCGTCCTCTCATAAAGAAGAGCTCTGATGGAGTATGCGTATCCATCGGTGGGCGCCGCTTGTCAGTGTGTGTCGTCGCGCTGCTGCCGCCGCCTTCGACGGCACCTACGACTTCCATGCGGGCGGGCCCCTCTCTGCTCTCTCGCTTTTGCATTGCCTCCGCCTTACTCGGCGTGGGACGTTTGCTCTTGACTCCGAAGGAATCAGTACGAGGAGGGACAGGATAATCACAAGGAGGAGGAGTCGACGGAGGAGCAGGAGTCGAGGGAGCAGGAGGGGGGATAAACGCTCGGATGGCCAGGGGTCGGTTTCAGAAAGGGTAGACTTTTACTCACAGGCAAGTGGCGGGAAGAGGAGCAGGAGCCGAGGGAGAGGACGAGTCGAATGAGGAGGAGGGGGACGAGTTGGAGGAGGAGAAAAAGGAAAGGAGGAGGAGGAGGAGAAGTGGCCGATGGAGAGGAGAGGAGGTGGAGGAGGAGGAACGAAAAGATAACAGGGGGAGGAGGAGACCCCCTCCCCGAAGATAGGCGTCGATGCCCGGCCCGATGGTCGGCGGCACCGTCCCGATGCTCCTCGCGCCGCCCCCGCTTCTGCCGGCCGTCGGGGCGTCGGTGCCGCAGCTGCTGCCAGGCGCGGCGCGCGGCTTCGGATCCTGACTGCCATGCAATTGCGGATCAGAGTGGCCAGACGGGGACGGGGTGGGTCGCGGGTGGGTCTCGGATGGGTCGCGGGTGGGTCGCGGGGTGGGTCGCGTGGGGGGTCTCGGGTGTGTAGGTCGCGGGGTGAGTCGCGGGCGTGAACAACGACAACAGCAACGCCGGTTCGCTCTCACATACACGCGTGTCAGCCAACACGTGTTCGGCATACCTTGTACATCCCAGAGTTTCGATGCCGGCCTTTTTCGTCTTTGATCGTGCTCCCCTTCGGGAAATCTGTTCCGTCTGTGCCGTGTGCAATTGAGGAAGCTCCTGAGACGAGAAGCAACTTCAAGCATGGAGCAGGAGAGAGCGACGAGGAAGGGAGTGCTGGAAGGAAGGGAGGCGGAGGGGAAGGGACAAGAAGGCAGGGCCGGTGGAGGACGCGAGGGGCCAGCACGAGGGGTAAAGAATCCGGTGTGGGAGGGACGTCTCGGGCGAGAGCGCGGTTCCAGGGTGAATTGCGGGGGCGCCCTGGGCGAGAACGCGGCTCCAGATCGCCGAGAAAACGGTTCGTGATGAGATGTTTGGGAGGTTTCAGGCGACAGCGCAATTCCTGTAGAAACTGCATAGAAGTCTAGAATTGGAGCGCGTTAACCTGTTGCGACATATCCGTCGGGAGTCGCTGCTGTAGTATTTCAAAGGCGCAACAACGCAGTCTTGAAACCCAATCTTTCCTTTATAGAAAACGGGGTGCGACCCCGGGGACGGGTATTCAATTGAGGAAACACGAGGTGAACCAGACGGGGGCCGGCAATTATCAAGCTGAAAGTGACTATAGTTAATGCAGACCTCTTTACAGAGTTCATTGTGTTTCTAGCAGTCTATGTAGCACAAGTTGGAGCAATCCCTGTGGTGCCATTAATTTTCGTTCGCAGTGAGTTGTCAACTCCGCTGCCCGCGCAATCATCCCACCCACCCTCCCACAACTTGGTTTGCATGAGCCCAAATGACGGGGATTGCGATGAATGCTTGGTGGTGGCTGGTGCGTATCTGCGGCCGCGCTGGCCCGCGAACGCTCCGCGCGCAGCGGTCAGCTAGTTTGGCACGACCGACGCGGTTGCGGTGGCGCCGACCACTGGGCGCTTCCCAGCAGGCGCTTCAGTGCGAGTCGGCGACTTGGGCGGGCGCGGTATCATTGCAACGTCGACGACGGTAAGCACGAGGATGATAGTAGCGATGATGGTGGCGACACCAACGACGACGGCAGGGCCAATGACGGCGCCGATGCTGATCTCGCCGACGACGATGATGGTGCCCCCACGTCGGAGATGAAGGTTTTGGAAACAGATCGGCATCCGCGCGGCCGGCGCGCGAGAGTTGCCCGCCTGGTGTTATTTGACACGGATCGCGCCGCCCGCCCCAGAACGCGCGCAAGGACATCCGAATGGTTTCGACATGCGGCGTGAGAGGCATATGGCAGAATGCAATGAACAGGTTGAAATGGGTATGGTTTTTTGTTGTTGTTGAAAAAATCCACAAATACGCGAGCGGAGGCTTCTTGGGAAAACCAGCGTTGCAAAACCATGTTTTTAATTGCAAAGAATTGTCGGAACACTCGGTTCTGAAAACTTGACCAAATACAGAGTATTTGGATGATTTTGGGGTGCGCGCTCGACGACGCGACCGTGCGCACTTCGTCCCGTTTGTTGCAGAGGACTCTTGCGACAGCATGCGCGCAAGGGCGTTCGAATGATTTCGGCACGCGCGCGCTGGAGGCCCGGTTGGCAGCGTGTTACGCAAATGTGGAGCAACCCATGCTCTTTCAAACAAGCAATCGCAAGAACGTGGGCGAAAGTTCCGGTTGAACCGTCGAATTGCGAAACCATGTGTTGTTATATGCTTTCGAAACACCCGATTGGGATCATGGCAGAACCCAGAGTTGTGGAAGGATGTTGGCATGCGTGCGCGAAAACTCGCGCGTGTTCACTGCGCTTTTTCCTTGCACTGGATTCTGGGCAATCGCTGCTTTGTGGTAAACGATTGCGCGCGCATCCTAAGTTTGGATAAAAGACATAAAATACGGGGTGGGGTCCGATCTTGGCCTGCATGGGATGGTTAACACTTGTTTTTTTGGATGGACGATACGGACAGAGTCATATGTATATTGAAAAACGAAAAGAGGAGCCGTTCATTCCGGTATGGGGGGGGGTCGATTCTATTATGGTTGTGGGAACGAGAGTGCACGTGTTGTTGCAATTTAGGTTTCGTAATCTATAGGTATATCTTTACTAGTGCAATTCAGGTTGTGCAATATATGTGGTGCAACGTACGTAGCGCAACCAATGTTGTGTAGTATTTGTGGGGCAGATTCTGTTGCGTAAATTGTGTCAATCAATCGACTTGTTGTGCAGCGTCTGTGTGCCAACCTGCGTGTGGCCATATATGTGATAAGCCAAGTAATGGAAAACATGTGTTGCCATCTACGGGGGGGAAGGTTTGTGGCGCAATTGGTTTTTACTTTCTCGCGCGCGGCCGCCTCCCATGCTCGCGCAAGCGTCCCGCCCACCCACCCGCAACTTGGTTCGCATAGCCCTCGAGGCGGTGATTCCGATGACTGCTCGGCGTTGGTGGGTGCATCGGTGCGACCGCGCTAGCTCCCGCAGGTTCGGGCGCTGAGCGGCCAGGTCGTTTGGTGCGACCGACGCGGCCGCGCTGGCGCTTACCGTTGGGAACATGCCAGCGCGTGTCGCAGGCCGTGCTGACACGCGGACACAGCAGTGCGAGTCGGTGATTCGAGTGCGCACGGTGTTCTGGCGACGCCGACAACAGCAGGCACGAGGTGACGATGACGGCAGCAAGGGCAATGACGACGCCGATGCTGATCACACCGGTGGCGATGATGGTGTCCCCGCGTCGGTGATGAAGCTCTTGGTGAATTCGACATGCGCGCGCCGCCGACGCGCGCGATGGTGCGCGTGGTGTTATGTGACACGTATCGTGCCACCCCGGCCCGCAGGGGCGGTCGAATGATTTCGGCATGCGCGCGCGAGAGGCGCGTTCAGTACTATTTGAATAAATCGTTGGAGCATACATGTTTGTTTTAAGGATTTGCAAGCAAATGGGCGGCGTTTTTTTTTGGCGGTGTTTAAACCATACATGTTGCGAGGTCAATGCTTTTTCAACAACGTCGGGACGCCTGATCTTGAAACCCGTACGAAATTCAAGATTGTCGAAGGATTTGGGCACGCGCGCGCGACGACGCGCGCGTGCGCATTTCGTCTTGTGGTTCGCTACATGTTGTCTACGGCAGCACGCGCGCATGGAGGTTCGAACGATTTCGACATACGCGCGCGGGGGGGGGCACGTTTGTTCGAATTTGATTCGGATGTTGAACGCCGATGTTTTTTGCGATTCCGGAAAAACAAACACGAGGCGGGGGGGTGTAATCCCGTCCTCGGGGTGGTGGTAGGTCTTGAAAATGGGAATTGCAACGATGCAGGCTATGTGGCGCAATCGGCGTCGTTCGGTCTGTGTGGTGCTATTCATGCTGTGCAACGGGGCGGCGGCGACGGGACGAGACGACGACGGCGACAACATAGCCCCCTGAGTGGCCCCCAGGCCGATACGTCGGGAGGCGACGGTGAGGCGACGGCGACACCATGCAAGTCAGACCGATCCCCTGGCCCAGACGACGGGCGGCGACAGGGCGGAGACGGCATGGCCGCCGCCCCGACCTTCAGGCCCAGACGACGGGCGGCGACGACGCGGCGACGGCGACGACATAGCCGCCAGACCGACCCCCAGGCGCAGACGACGGGCGGCGACGGGGCGGCGACGGCGACTACATAGCCGCCAGGCTGCCCCCACGCCCAGTTCCTCATTCCAGCAGTAACAGCCCCAAAGTGCAAGCAGTTTTGTGGGGAAAATGCATCAACAATCATTTTCAGACTGTTCGCTCTCATCTGCACGCGTGTCCATCAACATATATATCCCAAGCCCTCGATACCCGTCCCCCTCGTCTTCGAACGTACCCCCTTTGGGAGAATGTCTCTCTCACCTGCTACGCGTAGTCGGCGCAGCCCCCAGAACAGGTAGGGGCACAGAGCAAAGGACAGAGCGAGCAAGAAAGGACAAGCGGAAGGGAGAGAAGAGGGAAGGTGCAAGGGGGATGGAGGAGGATTGAAGACGCGAAGGATTAGCAGGAACGGGAAAGAGAGGAGGAAAGCAGGACAACAGGAAACGGACCCAGGTGGGCGGGTCGGGCGCGCGGTCATGGCGGACTCTAACGCGCGGGGCATTTCAGCAGCAGTGAGTGGCGATTGCGGGCCTCAGCGGGCGGGTCGGGCGGGCGGGCCCCGGCGGGCAGGTCGGGCGGCTGTGCCATTCAATTCACAAGTAAATCGCAAGGAAATTGCAGTCGAGTTTGCAATTCCGGGGCAAACTGCGAGGAAGTCCTGAGCTAGAACGCCGGTTTGGTGTAAAGTGCATGGAAGTCCCGAGGGAGAGCGCGAAGCAGTAATGAACAGCAGAGGACCACCCTGAGGAAAGTTGTCAGGAAGTCCTCGGCGACGGCGTGATTCGTGAGTGAATTAGATTGGGATGAAGGCCCATGTGAGAGCGTGAGTGTTCTATCAATTGTGAGGAAGTACCTGGCGGGAACCGTTGATGTAGTAGTTCAGAGGCCAAGAGCGCAGTTTAGAGACCCAATACTTCAACTGTAAAAACACTGCGAGCCCCAGGAGGGGCACGTCAATTGAAACATAGAATGGGCACCGAAGGGGGGTGAACACACCATATTCTTCAGAAGTGAAGATCCAAGACCTATCATTTCAATATTGTTCGCTCTTATCTGCTCGCGTGGTGATCAACCTGTACATAGTATCAACGACCCTCGATTTCCGTCTTCCTCGTCTTCGATCGCAGTCCCATTGGCGGCACACCGTCTTCACATGCCAAGCGTAGTTGGCTCAGCCACTACAACGGACAGAGGATGGAGGTAGGACGCGCTATATAGCGAGGAGCAGAGAAAAGCGGGGCGGGTGGGAGGATGGAAGGGGCAAGGGGGGGGAGAAGGATATGGACCACAAGATAGATTTGCAAGAGGGGGGTAAGGAGCAGGAGAACCAGACGGGCGGGTCGGGCGGGCGGATCCCAACGGGCGGGTCGGGCGGGTGGGCCCAGACGGCCGGGTCGAGTTGTTGGGTCTTTGAAGCGTGAGTGAGCATGGATCGGGAGGAAGTCTCGAGTGATAGCGCGATCCCCCCCCCCTCAAGTAATGTATGAGGAAGTCCAGAGTGGGAGCCTGACTCCTCAGCGTCGAGGGCTCGGCGTGTCAATGAATTGGGGGAAGTCCCACGCGAGAGTCTGATCCCTGGGTGACTTGCCAGGACGTCCCGAGCGGGAGGGCGCTTTTCAGTGTGAGGAAATCTGAGGCGCGAGCCGTTGTGGGATGATTATCGCCCCCCCTGTCCAGTGCACCTCATATGTTTCGATTGAAGAGCCCTTTCTGGAGTTCGCATCGCGTTTTCAAAAAAGAAACATCTTGAGGCTCAGATCGGGCCCCTGGCCCCTGAACTAGAGCGACTCCCGCTTGACAATTCTGTACAATTCATCCAAAATCGCGCTCTCGCGCTGAACTGCCCGACACGTTTTTACGCAGGGATCGCGTTCACGCATTGGTTTTCGGCTTATTGGGACGCCGCGCCCTCGACATGCAGGGATCACGCTCACAGTCTGGACTTCCTCACGATGCTGTTGGAAATCGCGCTATCGCTCGAGATTTCCTCGCGGTTCATGCCAGACTGCTGTCTCAGCGGTCCGTCCGCTCGACCCGCCCGTCTGGGCCCGCCCACCCGACCCACCACGTGAGGGTCTGCACGCCCGACCCGCCCGTCTGTTTCTGCCGCTTGTTTACCTCCCCCTAGCCCCCATTATGTTGTGAATCTCTCTCCCGTTCTCCCTTGTCTCGCCCCCCCCGTCCCTTCGACTGTTTTATGTCGGAGGGAGGAGAAGCGATACCAACACCACCAGGGGGCCCGCCTCCAGCCAGGAGGTCCACGATGCCTCCCCGAGCCGGATGCTAGGGATGTCTCGAGCGAGAGGGGGGGACCACACCACCAGGGAGACTCCCCTTGCCTCCTCGCACCTCCTCGCCCTGCTGGTGTTGGTGTCGCCTTTCCTTGTTCCCATTTATGGGGCTGCGAAAATCTACCCACCATCGAAGACGAAGAGGGCGGGTGCCGGGGTTCTCGATCGACATGTTGAAAGGCATGCGGGCACACACGAGCGAGCAGTCTTAACATGATGGTGGTTGTTGCAAAACGGGTCAGGGGCCGACAACACAGTTTGGAGACCCAATATTTCCCGTGTTGGAACAGGCATGACAACACAATTGTATGCCAGCCCCAGGAGGGGCGCTTCAATTGAAGCAGCTCAGATGTTTCCGCAAGGGGGGCATCAACAATTGTTCTTCAGCAGTGAGAAACCATCATGTTCAGATGGTTCGCTCTCGTCTGCTCGCGTGTCGTCCAGCATCTGCATCACAAGCCTTCGATCCCCGCCCCGTATGGGGGGGGTATGTCTTCCTCACCTGCCACGTGCAGCTGGCGCAGTCCCTAAACCAGGGGAGCGGGCCCAGGCCAGGCGTGTTGAGCGGATGGGGCTCGGAAGCACCCGTCGGGAGTGTCTCGAGCGCTGGCGCGACTCCCGACGAGCTTGCGCGCGAGGAAGTTCGGAATGGGAGCGTGAGCTCTAGTGTACAGTGACGAGAGCGCGGCGTTTCGGAAACATCGCAAGGAGCTCCCACGCGTGAGCGCGGTCCTGGTAACGCTCGTGTGAAGCGTGAGGAAGTCTCACGCGAGAGCGTTATGTTGGATGCATTGTGAGGCAGTGTCAGGCAGGAGAAGGTGTTGCTGTAGTCCGGGGGCCAACAACGCAGGCTAAGGCGCAAGACTCGTGGCATCGCTCGGACGTGTACACTTCTTGGGGGGGGTTATCGAGGACCATCCCATTTGGGGGGAGGACCATCGCGTAGCATTCAGCAAATAATGCACGCACGACATGGAAACATGCCTGTGGAATGGACGTCCGAGCGATGGCGATGACTTGTCTTCTTGTAGAAGGCAAGGTGAGAGTTATGATGTTCCAATCTACTTCAGCCTTGATCACCAAAAAGAGTTCCGTGCACCAAGGAAGTACCGAAGCTGGAGGGTTTTCACGTGTCGGGCCCTGGGAGGCGATACTCGTTCGACACGGTTTCGATGTTTTTCTGGGTGCTCGAAGTTGTGTTTGGGATGTGGTCTTCTAGTACGATGAGAGCAACATAAGTTGAGAGCCCCGGGAGGGATACTTCAATCAAAAAACATTGGGTTAGCGGGAGTTCGAACCGTGGAGGCACGTCGTCGCCACGGCCAGAGTTGGGCCCGCTCTCGATGACGGGTCAGGCTCTGGAGCAGGAGGCGCACCACCGCCACAACCTGGGGGGGTGAGGACGAGCTGGTGTGCGGGATGCGGGTGCACACCATGTCCTGCGAGAGCGCCCGAAACGATCTACACCACCACCACCACCACCACCACCACCACCACCACCACCAGGACCACCACCCCTGACCACCCTCTGCCTCCATCCTCCAGGTGCTGGTGGTGGCGCGTGTCCTTCTCCTTCTAGGAAGGATCCCGTGAGGGGGGGGCTGGGGACGGATTTTGAGCGGATCTGGGGCGGGCGGGAGAGCCGCCGTTGTCTCGACCGTGTATCGCCGTCCTCGGGTTCTCGTCGTCGCAGCTGGATCCGCTCCGGCGTTGTGTCAGCTGGCCCTCATGCGACGTCGGATGATGGGGGGGGCGACGTCGGATGAGGGGGGGGAGGGGGAGGAGCAAGGTTGCGGGTAGGGGACAGACTCAGTGGCGGCTGCATCGACCCCCAATTACGGCAGGTTCGCGTCGTGTCGATTGGCGGCGACCCCAGCGCGGGCGTTTTAGGTTGAACGCTGCTTTGTGGCCCATGATCGGCCCATCCTTGAACGATCTGGCCTTCTCGAAAGGGCCGATTGTTTGAGTTTGAACGATCCCCGCGGTGTCAAGAGCCAGCGCCGGGGTCGACACTGCGCAAACGTGCCGCGCCCATGTATTACCGATAGGGGATATAGGGGCCCGATAGCTCCACCCCTCCCAGGAGCGCGAGGATCCGCTATCGGGGGCATATCGCCGATCGATCGGCGATGTCTCGCACAGTCATGGTCAACGTTTCCCCGCCGCCTGAGCGAGTCCCACCCTGTCCTTGCCTCTCAGGGAAAGAGGGGGAGGGGTTGGATCCTCGATGTTCCTTCTCCTCACCTTCTGTCCGCGTCCGTCGGTTGGTTTTGTGGCCTCGTACATGCTGTTTCGATTAGTCCGAACTCCAGCCGATGTTTTGCACATCCGCGTCCGCTCCGTGTTATAGTAACACTGTAGGACATTCGTTCATTCCGTCCTCACCCTCCCCTCTTCCTTCTCACAAGTTATCAGAATCACTACGGCTCTCTGCTCTCTTTCTCCCTCTTGGCGATGCGCGGCGGTGCTCTCGCCCCCCCACCGCCTCCGCGTCTTCAAAAGGCGGTGTGCCATCAGTGTTCCAATGGGAACGGTCTCGCTTATTCAAAACGGTGCTCCCGCTGCAGCGTTGGCCCACTTCCATGACCAGCGCTTTGCTCCCGTCGTTCAGCATGGCGCTCTCGCCACATCGCGGGCCACATTTTTGGATCCGATTCCTTCCCCGTCGATGTTGCCGCTCCCCTCCTTCCCCCCTCTCAGCCTTCGCCTCGTCCTGCTCCCGCTTCTCCTGCTCCTGCTGCTGCTGCTTCTCCTCCTCCGTCTTCCTCATTCTCCATTTCCTCTTGTTCAGCATCATCCCTCTCCACCCTGCTCTGACCTCCCCCTTCTCCCGGTCCTCCTGCTCCTCGCACTCCTCCTGCTGCTAGTGCTGCTCCTCTTCCTCCGCCCCCGTGCTCCTCCTCCCGTTCACCCTCGGGCCTATCCGCCACCTCTGATCTCGCACCATGCGACGGGCCATGGGAGCCAGCCGTCGGCGGATAGAGAGAGCATCCTCGCCGTGTGATGGGGTGAGTGGTGGGGCCGGAGGCCGGGTGTGGTGCGAGCGCAACCGGCTTGTCCACATCTTTTTCCGCCCCCTGTTGCTGCTCCTCCTCCTCCTCCTCATCCTCCTCCAGCCTCCGTAGCCATTTTGGCTCAAGTCGTCTTGGCACAAGCTCAAGCCTCTGCAGCCCTCGCGATCGCGGCGAACCGGCCGCCCTCCACGGCCCCCCTCCGCTTCCGCCCCGCCGCAGCGCGATGGCCGCGACCTTCTCCCAGCGCATCGTGCCGTCAGCGCTGGCCCTCGCTCTCGGCGGCGTGGGCTCGAGCGGCTTCGCGGTCTCGGAGCTGTACGGGAAGAACTACGAGGACCCGATGGTTGGCCTCTGGTGTGTGGGCCTGACCGCCAGCGGCTTCGAGCAGGGCGCGGGCGTTCAGGCGCAGTTCAGCGAGCCCGACCAGGAAGACATCGAGCACTTCCACGGGCAGGGGGCCAACTGCTTCCGGGTGCCCATCACTTGGAATCGCCTACAGTCCAGCCTCGGCAGCAACGAGCTTGACCCTGTGTCGGAGTTTGTCGAGACCATCAGGTACATTACGGAGGACCTCGAGGACTACGCCATTGTCGTGCCCTTCAGCGGTTCGGCCAACGGTGGCCTAAGGTACGAAGAGCAGGAGGCCACCATGGACGATTTCGTCAACCTTTGGACGGCGATCTCCAAGGAATTCGCCCAGAACGACCGCGTCATCTTCGAGCTGTTCGACTACCCCGAGTATGGTTGTCACAATGGGGATTGCGGCGACGGCAACACGGGCTTCTTCGGTTGGGGTGACGACACGAACGGCGTGTATGTCCAGGCCTGGCTGGAGTGGTGCCAGGGAGCGGTCGACGCCATCCGCGCGCAGGGCGCTGACAACTACGTCCTCGTGCCCGGGCTGAAGAAGTCCCTCGCCAGGGACTGGCTGGGCGCGCAGTGGTGGGGCGAGTCCCTGGACGGCTACAGCAGGGCTGGCAACCTGAGGCTGTTTGCGCTCCAGGACCCCTCCAACAGGACCGCCTACAGCATGCGCCAGTACTTCGACTTAGGGCAGATTGGTCTGAGCCCCGGCTGCGAGGGCCACGACGCGCACGTGAACGGGGGCTTGTCCGCGGACGAGGCGCTCACCTACACCATCGCCATTGCACAGAAATACAACAAGAAGCTGTGGATGACCGAGGTGCTTTCCATTCCCGACGCGGATGCCACCACAGCGGAGAGGGAGGAGTGCGAGAGCAAGCTGGGGGACTACCTGGCGGAAATGGCGGACTCGGGGGTCTTCCTCGGCTACCAGGTGTGGCAGTTTGGGTGCAAGGACTGCGCAAAGGGCGTGGACCTGTCCCCCGAGAGCATCGACGAGAACTACAACAACTTCGACTGGTACAACCTCGAGAAGTACGGAATCACCAGCACAAGCACCTCGCGTACCCAGACCACGGTCACCAGGACCTCCGTCACGAGCACCACGGCCACCACCTCCACCTGCACGGGCTGCACGCACACGCAGACCAGCACCACGGGGACCACGATAACGGCCACCACGGCGACGTCGACCACTACGCCGGAGGACCTGAATGGCGCGCCGTCCGCCCTCCCCAGCGCGGGCTTGGCTGCCGCGGTGGTTCTCGCCCAGCTGCTGGCGTGCTGAGTGTGGATATCGGGGGAAGCGAGAGGGTGGGAGGGGGGTGGCTCGAGTCTTGGGAGGAGGCAGCCAGCCTGGCCCTCGCAGCGAGCGCGCGCGGCCAGCGTATCGCGGAAACCCCGGCCTCTCCAGGAAGAGGCCCCGGGTCAACCGAGCCCGGGCCCCGCACTTCTTCTGCCCGGCGTGCTGCCCCCACGGGCCGGGTGGCTTCCACATGCGAGGCCTCCCCCGCAGGGCCGCGCTCCGCGCTCACACGCAGCGCCCCAGCGGCGGACTCGGATACTGGCGACCACCGTCCTGGCCCACTAGCTGACTCATCCTCCTCCAGCCTCCTCCTCCTCCTCCTCCTCCTCATCCTCACCCTCATCCTCATCCTCATCCTCATCCTCCCCCCTTCCTCCTCCCCCTCCTCCTCATTGCGCGCCGAATGGGGGCGACGAGCACCCAAGCTGAGGTCTCCGGACATCTTGTTGGCTACAGGAGGTTTTCCGGCTTGGGAGTTATTTTCAGCAGATGCGCCCCGCCGAGAGCGTTCTTCTTGACATCGCTCGGACGTGTGCACTTGTTCTCGGCGGTTGCCATCTAGGAACCTGTTGGGCCCTCTTGCGTCAAAACGCACGCACGAAGCCGACAAATGCACGGGGAATGGACGTCCGAGCGACGGCGAGTCTTAGGGTGGTCGAGTCGTCCCGCCAGAGTCTTGCTCTGGCCTGGAAGAACGCGACCTTCCCCTGCCCCGCAGGCGCGCTGTTGTTTGTGTTCCTTTCCCGACTTCGGCGGCCCTCGCCAGGGTCCAGGGCCGTCAGAGAGCGACCCGGCACGAAAGGGCGGCCCTGGGGAAAAGGGGCCAGGAATTCCGAGGACGCCGTACTGAACAAGTACAAGCTGCATCGGATCGGAACTCTGTGCACACTTTGGGCACGATTCGCTGTCCGGCCAGATGCTCGGCACGAGCGAAATTGGTGCGGAAAGAATGGGTACAATGCCCAACAGCAGTTCCTGTTCATTTTGAACAGGACTCGCTGTCCGCGCCGCCGCGGCCTGTGTCCATTTGAGACAGAAGGCCGCCTGCCCAACAGCGGCCGCTGTTGGTTTCGGACAACATTTGTTGTTGGGCATTGTGTCATTTTTTCCGTACCCATTTCGGGCGTCCAAAGATGCGAGCGTAGCGGACCGCGATGTTGGTTCTGGTGGGCCGACACGGGTACGAAACGAGTTGGGACGATATTTCGGGAGGCATTTGCCGGGATGCTTTCGTGGGAACGACTCTGGGCGATAAGGAACTATGTTGCCGGATTCGGGCAGTTTGCCGTTTGAGGCAGCATTAGGTTGTCATTCGGCAAAGGATTTAGATATTAGGGCCGATGTTGAATCCCACCTCCCAGGATCTGCAACCCTAGGACGTCTGATCGCTTGTAGCCTCCCTCCGATATCTTGTCTTGGTCGGAAGTGGGGTGATGATCGTCGAAAGTCGGGGCAGTCGCAGTCGCAGCAGGAGGAGCCGTCGTCGCCGTCAGTTCCGTCGGTCCACACAGTTGCACGGCGAGGCGGGAGGAGCGTTTCCTTCCTCCTCCTCCTCCTCCTCCTCCTCCGCCCACCTCCTCCTCCTCCTCCTCCTCCCTCCTCCTCCTCCTCCTCCTTCTCCTCCTCCTCCTCCTCCTCCTCCTCCTCCCGGTCGCCAGGCAAGGAGATGTGCGGGGACTTCCGCAGGGGCGTCTGCCTGCGCGGCGACCGCTGCAAGTACTCGCACGGGCAGGCTGCCAACGGCGCCGCTGCAGGACATCCGCGCCACGGCCCGTCTGCCCACCCGCGGGGGCAGCGACGTCAGCGGAGAAGAGGGCGATGGAGCCGATGTCGGCAGCACCATCCTCCTCCTCCTCGTCCTCCTCCTCCTCCTCCTTCTCCTCCTCCTCCTCCTCATCCCCCTCCTCCCTCCTCCTCCTCCTCCTCCTCCTCTCCCTCCTCCCTCCTCCTCCCCCTCCTCCTCCTCCTCCCCTCTTCCCTCCTCCCTCCTCCTCCTCCTCCTCTCCTCCTCCTCCTCCTCCTCCTCCTCCTCCTCCTCCTCCTCTCCTCCTCCTCCCCCTCCTCCTCCTCCTCCTCCTCCTCCTCCTCCTCTCCTCCTCCTCCTCCTCCTCTCTCCTCCTCCTCCTCCTCCTCCTCCCTCCTTCCTCCTCCTCCTCCTCCTCCTCCTTCTCCTCCCCCTCCTCCTCCTCCTCCTCCCCCTTCTCCTCCTCCTCCTCCTCTCCTCCTCCTCCTTTCCGCTCCTGCTCCTCCTCCTCCTCCTCTCTTCCTCCTCCCCTTATCCTCCTCCTCTCCTCCTCCTCCTCTCCTCATCCTCATCCTCATCCTCATCCTCATCCTCATCCTTCTCGTCCTCCTTCTCCCTGCGCTTGTCCTCCTCCTCCTCCTCCTCCTTCTTCCTGCGCTCGTCCCTGCGCTTCTCCCTGAAGTGGCAGGAGGCTGTCAGGCAACGTGGCGTGGACACAGATCCTTCCTGCCTCCTCGCCCGCCTCGAGCGCCAAAAGAGTATTCCGAGCCTGGAGGCTTGCCGCGTCGATCGGGCCCTGGGAGGCGGGGCTCCTTCGACACACGGGATGTGGTCCCTGAGCACGATGGGAACAGCATCACCCTCGCTCGTTCTCGTGATCGTTTTTTATTCATTGTGCTGCCGATCGGCGCGGGCCCTCGCACCCCCCCTCGCACCCCCCCCTCCATGGAGTAGATCTGGGCTGTTCTGGGCGGCGTCTGTTTCAAGCAGGGGAGTCTCCCCCAGAGGACGCGCGGTTCCGAACCGCCACGCTGAGCAGAGGTCCGGAGCCAGGACCCTCCCCTCCGCGCATCCCCCCCCCCCTTCCGCCCAGTGTCGCCACGTGGCACAAGAGGACGCCCACGCCGGTCCCTCGCCCCTCTCCCTGCCAGGAGAGGGCCCCTCGGCCGAGAGCGGCCCGCCGAGGCCCTCGGGGGGAGAGGCCCCCCCTCCCCCCCCTCCCGAGGCCGCCGGAGGGGTCCGCCCCCCCCCTTCGGTGCCCCTCCTCCTCCTCCTCCTCCTCCTCCTCCTCCTCCTCCTCCTCCTCCTCCTCCTCTTCCTCCTCCTCCGCCCACGCCTCGGCCTTCAGGGGAGCAGTCGGGGGCAAGGACAGCGGGGGGATGGGCGCAAGTCGGGCGCGTGCCTCTACGGGAGAAGCATGCAAACATATGAAAGCGCAGTAAGCTTGAGACGATGCGTCTAACGCTTTTGTTTCCATGAGGGAGTATGTGTTGACGATGTTTAACGTTTCGCCCGAAATTCCCCTGTAGGGGGACAGGCCCGACCGAAGGATAGGCACAAGTCGGGCACGTGCCTCTACAGGAGGAATGTGCATAAGTATTCAAAAAATAGTATGGGGACGACTGTGTGACTATTCTTGAGTATGCTTGCATATTTTTGGAATATGTTTTTCGTTGTTCGTCCAAGCTCCGCCTGTGGGGGGACATGCCCGACCTGAGGATAGGCATAGGGGGGATGCATCGACCCCCAATCGCCCGTGGATCCCCGATAGGGGTCCGATAGCCCCACCCCGCCCAGGAAACCGCGGATTTTCACTATCGGGGGCCTCTCGCCGATCTCTATCGACGACGTATCGCTGGTTCTGGGTCGATGCATCCCCCCTGTGCCCATTCCCCCGTGTCGTTGCCCCTCAAGCAAGTCCTTCCGCGCCACGGCCCTGAGCGCCCCTAGGCCGGTGGGCCGCGAGCGGCTCGCCGAGGCCCTCGGAGGCTCCCTGCCCCCCCCCGAGGCCCCTGGAGGTCGCCCCCCCGCGCGCCCCCTCGCCGCTCGAGGCCGACTCCAAGAGCATGTCGCTTTTTCTCCTGGACTGGGCGATCGCGGCCGTGATCGGCCCTCTTCCGCCCTCCTGGCCCCCCCACGGATAGCGTCACGCGATGTTGCCTACACCTGCAGAGATTGATTGCGGATTCCCCGGGGATGTCCCAAGATTTCCGGCGGTTTGCCGCCGTGATGTGATCGGGGGGGTACGAAATCCACCCCCTCCCCCGATCACGCCCGTGATCGCGAATAGTAGGCAGGCTCATGCAATCAGAAATAAAACATTGCGACACTATTCCCTAGATACTCACAAAGGCAAGCTCTTCACGTCTTGCGGACCCCCCTCGGCTCACGCATAATCGCTGCCCGTTAGAGAGCTGGCGGGAGGTAGGAGGGAGAGGCACACATAGTGAGTCAGAGCGGGCAGCCATGGTGACCTGAGGATGTGGAGGAGGAGGGGGGAAGAGCAGGAAGAAAAGGAGCAGGCGGAGGAGGAGGAACAGGACGAAGAGGATAAGGACGACGACGAGAGGACAAGGAGGAGGACGAGGAGGGCAATCTCGAGGAGGACGACGAGGGCAAAGACGAGGAGGAAGAGGATGACGACAAAGACGAGGACGAGGACGAGGAAGAGGACGAGAACGAACAGGATGACGAGGAGGAGGAAGAGGAGGAGGATCAGGAGCAGGAGGAGGAGGAGGAGAGGAGAACGACGAGGAGGACGAGGACGAGGAGGATGAGGACGAGGACTCTGGCAGCCATCCGGAGATCTTCTTGAGGCCCTCTTGGAGTCCTCTTGTGACTCTCTCGGGGCCCTCTTGGGCAGCTCTTGCGTTTCTTTGGGGGGGTCTTCTGGGGTGTCTTTGGGGGGTCTTGGGGGCCTCCTGGGGGCCCTCTTGGGGCTCTCTTGGAGCCCTCTTGGGAGCCCTGGAGGACATCCTGGGGCCTGGGGCCATCTTGGAGGCCATCGATCAGAAGGTGTGGTTTCCCGATTTGCCTACCCCTGGGGCCATCAAAATCGCTTCGTGGGGCCCTCTTGGGACGCTCTTGGGGACGTGCGGAGGGCCTCTTGGGCCCCTCTCGGTGCTCTTTTGAGCCATCTTGAGGCCCGAAGAGCACATCGGAAGCGAAAAGACGAGAAGGCAGACATCACTGCTCTCATCTTGGTGTCTGAAGGATTCGGGCCTCTTGAGAGGGGCCTTGGGGGGCTCCGAGAACAATTGGAGCCGTCTTGGAGCGGTCTTCGTGGCTTCTTAGAGCATGTTGAGGGCCATCTTGGAGGCCATCTCGGAGCATCGGACGCCCTCTTGGAGCTACCTCTGGCCATCGTGGGCGCCTTGACCGCTCGCGCCCCCCCCCCCTCCCCCCTAACAGAACGACTCCGAGGGGGAAGGGGGAGGTCTACCCCTTCTCGAGAGGAAGAGGGCTTTCAAGAGAATAGAGAGACATCTTTAGGCAAGTTGCGCCCAGAGGACTGGTTGCATAGGTCATGATAGCGATACGTTGAAAGGCTTCCAAAATTGGACATGCTTCGGCTTACGCGCAGACAGACTCCCCAGGTAGTCTGAGCTGGCCTCAACAGGCCCCCCGAGTAGCCCCAGCTGGCCTCAACAGGACCCCGGGGGCGGTCTCAACACCTTGGCGCCGCCTCCAGCGGCGCCCCTGGAGCGCTCCGCGCCGTTGGGTTGGGGTGTCCAGACCGCCCCGTACTTCTCGAAGGGCGTGCTATGGTCAGCTGGGACTACTCGGGGGACCTGTTGAGGCTGGCGGATCTCCCTTGGGGGGGAGTCTGTGTGCAACCCGAAGCTTTCCCAATAGTGTTGCGTTCAAAGGTTTCATGATTTCCTAGATCTTCTAACGTTCCACAGTTCCCAGGATTTTGCAGAAGCCCGAGTGTTCCACACGAGAATCAGGAAGCGATTGCCACTGGATGCTGCGAACTTTCTGGAACGCGCTTTGAGCCAATCGCATCATGGCATCATTCTCGTCTTACACTTGCTCCTGCCCACCCTATCGTCCACACAGGCGCCCACGGCGACGGCAGACCCGGAAACCGGCCCTGCCCGACGGCGGGCCGACACCGACAGGCCCCCGCCAGCCTGCCTACAGTACGGCGATGCGGCGCGGCCGACCTGCGAACCGCCGAAGCGACAGGACCGCGGGCACCCATGCCTGCGACCACCTGCGAACCTGAGTTTCCCCGGCGGATCAAGTCGCCGCTGGGATATCGGACACCCCCGTTGGGGATCACTTGGCTGCAGACATCCTTGGAGTTCTGCGCCCCAGTCGTGCTTCATGATGGGCCGATTTCCCACCACGACTACCATAGGTAGGAGAGGAAGGAGGAGGAGGAGGAGGAGGAGCAGGGGGAGGAGGAGGACGAGGACGAGGAGGAGGAGGAGGACCTCCCCATCCTCCCTTATCCCCCGTCCTACCTCTGGTAGTGGTGGTGGAGATTTGGCTCATCATTCCAGAAACCTGACCTGCAGGGGCATTATCTAGGATAGCGATTAAGAGTTGCCCGGGGCGCCGTCACGCAGTAGCGCCCTGGGCGATGACTAGTGCATCGGAGTACCGGCCTGCTCGAGGGCGTCGTCGTCGTCGTCAGTGAGTTCAGTTGACTGTCCTCTCCAATATCTTCCCCAGCGGCATGAAACTGTTTTCTGAGCACCGTCGTCCTCGTCTCCAAAGCTGCCCCCCCCTCCACCCCTTCCCACGCCACTCGCCAGACAGACAAGACGGATCCCCCACGCGGGACGCCACCGCAGTATCAAATGTGAGCGTCCTTGTGTCCCCTCCCCAACCTCTCCTTCTCCTCACCTCCCCCCCTCCCCCGTCTTCTCCTCACCCCCTTCTCCCCTATCCTCCCCCACGTCTTCTCCTATTTGTGCTACCTATCCCTCCTCTGCCTTCTCCTTCTCCTCCTGGCGCTCCCGTCGCAGACCCTGCCTCCCGCGCCATTTCTCGTGCCAAGGACCTGCAACAAACAGTTCATGATCAGGAGGAGAAAGGAGGAGGAGGAGGAGGAGGAGGCCGAGGAGGAGGAGGAGGAGGAGGAGGAGGAGGAGGAGGATGGGGAGGAGGAGGAGGAGGATGAGGAGGATGAGGAGGAGGATGAGGAGGATGAGGAGGAGGATGAAGAAGATGTGGAGGAGGAGGAGGATGAGGAGGAGGATGAGGAGGAGGAAGAAGAGGAGCAGGAGGAGGAGGAGAGGGGGGTGGAGAGAGGCGATCAGGGGAGGAGGAGGAGGAGGAGGAGGAGGAGGAGGAGAAGGAGGAGTAGGAGGAGAAGGCGTGGGAGGAGGATGCGAGCAGGAGGATCAATTTGCCTGGCGAAGGAGCCAACTATGTGCAAGTGGAAGTACCGCAGTTGTTGGTATCGCCTTCGGTGGAGCTCCCTATGGAGCCACGAAACGTTGTGATGGGTGGGGGAGGCGCATGTGGACACCGCCACTGGGGCCTTATGTGGAGCCCACTCTGGGGCCACGCAACGCTGTGCCAGGCAGGTGAGACAGATGTGGACACCGCCACTGGGGCCTTAGGTGGAGCTCCCCGCCAAGGGGGCCTTAGTTGGAGCCCCCTATGGGGCAACGAATCGCTGCGCTGGGTTGGGGAGACGCATGTGGACACCATCACTGGGGCCTTAGGTGGAGCTCCCTATGGGGCCACGAAACGCCGTACTCGGTGGGGGAGACGCATGTGGGCACCGCCACTGGGGCCTTCGGTGGAGCTCCCTGTGGGGCCACGAAATTCTGTGCTGGGTGGAGGAGACGCGTGTGGACACCGCCACCGGGGCCTTAGGTGGAGCTCACGTTGGGGCCACAAAATGCTGTGCTGGGTGGGTGAGGCAGAGGCAGGGATGGGAGGAGGGAGGAGGGAGAGGAGGAGGAGAGGAGAAGAAGAGGAACGAGGAGGAGGACCGCGGGGCGCTGCCTTCTCAAAGCGAGGACCCAATACCAAATGATGTTTGGGAAAACAGGAGCAGGAGGAGGAGGAAGATGAGGAGGAGGAGGAGGAGGAGGAGGAGGAGAGGAGGAGGAGGAGGAGGAGGAGGAGGAGGAGGAGTAGGAGGAAGTGGAGGAGCAGGACGGGAAGGGAGCAGAGGAGGCGGGGGAGGGAAAGCAGGAGCAGCAGGAGTCCCCCCTCGTCTCCCTGGAGGTCGAGGGGCTCGACGGGGGCCCCGCAGCAGGCGGAGCCGCATCGCGAGGAGCCTGCAGGCAGCAGGAGCAGGAGACAGACATGAGGAGCAGCAGCAGCGGGAAGGCGGATCCTGCATCGGTGGTTCTTCGATCTGAAGGGGCTTATTCCCTAGACAGCTTGTCTGCATGGTTGTGTGCCTGATGTCTCGACGAAGCGATGGAGTGGTCTGCCGGCGCTGTGTCAGAGACCAACGCCGAAGTCGGCACGGCACGAAACTTCCGTATGCATGGGGCTGGAGGAGTGCACGGTTTCCCCCCGGGGCCGTAGGCGACCCGAGGAGGACGAGGAGGAGGAGGAGGAGGAGGAGGAGGAGGAGGAGGAGGAGGAGGAGGAGGGGGAGGAGGAGCAGGAGGAGCAGAAGGAGCAGGAGGAGGAGGAGGAGGAGGAGGAGGAGGACGACGAGGAGGAGGAGGAGGAGGAGGAGGAGGAGGAGGAGGAGGAGGTGGAGGAGCAGGAGGAGGAGGAGGAAGAGGAGGAGGAGGAGGAGGAGGAGGAGGAGGACAGGTCGCCTGAGCCCTTCGGAGAAACCCTCCAGGCCGGAGGAGCGCAAGAGCGGTCTGCAGGTCGCCCGCCGTGCGCCCGCAAAAGACGCGCCCGGACCGCCGCGCGCGCAGGCGGCGCCGCCACCGCCGCGCTGCTCTCCAGCCTGGCGGCCGCCTCGGGCTCGCGAGCGGCCCGGCGCCTCCGCCCCACAGCCCTCGGGGGTGGACGGACCTCCTACCCTGACACGTCGATGAGCGAATCGGCCGTTTTCGGCTCGCGAGGGGGCGTCGCGGCCGTCATTTTTGCGTGTCCAGGTCCGTCGGTCTCGGTCCTGGGCCGTTATCACTAAAGGGAGTTTTTTTCAAGGGAGGTTTGTCCACCGCCGAAGCCCGGGGACAGCGTCAGGCAGGTGGTGAGTCGGTCGAAGAAGGAGGCAAAAACATACATAGACATAAGTTTAAGCTTTCGGCGCTCCGCGCGGATGTCTCGGATCAGCGCAGGGCCCCCCCTCTGGCGGCGCCTCCGGCGCCGCCCCTGGCACGCTCCGCGCGCCGGGAAGGGGGGTCCAGCGCAGATCCAAGAAATCAGCGAGGAGCGCCAAAAGTTTATGTTTATGGCGTTTTTTTCTTCTTCTTCTTCTCCTTCTTTTTCTTATTCTTCTTCTTCTAGTCAGAGAAGTTTCCGCTCGTCTTTGATTGATTGTAATAGCGTGCAAGTAGCGCCCAAGAGTGACCACTAGCGTCCAATGGCGACATGGAACGGAGATGCGTGGTGTCCGCTTTGCACGCGATCGGGCGAGCTATTGGCACCATGGGCGCGACTAGAGGCTTCCGAGTGTTGCTTCCTTACGTCAGGGGAGGAAGCGGCTCATGTTGGCATCGGAGTCGTGGCAGGGGAGGGGTGATCCGGGGCCAGCCTCAGGGGCGGATGCGTCGACCAGGGCCGCGCGTTCTCGGAATCGAGTCCCGAGGTGTTCCGGGGCTCTCGTGGAGCCTCGGCGGTTCTGCAGCCGCGGGGTGGACCCCAGCAGCTGCGCCTCGCCGAAGGCGCCCTGGGGCTGCCCGGAGCGTCCCGAACGGCCGGGGGGACGCATTGACCCGGGGGCCCGATGGCCCGGTGGCCCGTCCGGCCCAGGATCTCGGGGGCGGAAAAGAAGGGGATGATGATTAGGGGGGGGTGGATATCATGGCGGGGGCCACGATGTTTCCCCAGATGTTATGGCGCCTCTTCTTACTTCATTACGTCCCTGGCCTCCCCGCTGGGCCGCGCACATGGCGCCGGTCATGATTTGCACCCCCCCTCTTGGACACCCCCCCCTTGGCCGCTCCCGAAGGATCGCGAGGTTCGCTAGCCGGGGGCCTGTCGCCTAGCTCTCGGCGAGGTATCGCCAACTCCAGGCCGATGTTTCCCCGCTCAGAGCCTTACGTCGGGCCCGTCCCTCTACAGGGGGAAAATTCAAAGATGGTCAACAAAAATAGTCTGGGGACGATTTTTCCACTGTGTTTTGGGCAATTGTTGGTGCATGTTTGGACTATTGCGACGACCTTACGGTCGGTGCCGCCGACCCTGAATGGCGCCGACGACGACGAGCCAATTCCAGGTCGATGTCTTCCCCCCTGGGCCGGTCCCCCCCCCTCCCCCGAGTTGTGCTTCACCCCAGCGCGCACGAGCGCGCGTGCGCGCCCGAGCGCAAGTCCCGCCACCGTGCCATGGCCCAGCATTCTGGGTGGCCGCTGTTCGGGAGGCGCACCGGAGGGCGGCATGCTATAGACGCGTGGTGGAACCCCTCCAGCCCATCCATCCAGAAACGATGCACAACTCGTTGATCAGGGATTTGAGGAGAATGCTGTTGAAGAAAGGTTTCGGTAGGACGTCGTACCCCAAGAGGGTGAGGATGGAGGAGGAATCGGAGGAGGAGCAAGATGATGAAGAGGAGGAGTAGGGAGATGGGGGAGGGTCGGAGGGACGATGAAGGAGGAGGAACAGGCGGATGAGGAAGATGACGAGGAGGGGGAGGGCGAGCAGAAAGGCCAGAGGGTCTCTTGGTCGTTTCTCGGAGTCTCTTCGGATTTCTTTCGAGAGTTTCTTGGAGTCCTCTTGGGGCGCCTTGGGGGTCTCTTGGTGGACCCGGTGAGTTCTTGGGGCGTATCGGGTTCCTCTGGGAGCTTGGAGGCATCTTGGGGGCCTCTGGGGGGCCTCTCGGGGCATCCTGGGTACCTCTTGGGGCCGTCTTTGGGCAGGCACCCTTGGAAGCCTCGGGGGCCATCTTGGGACAGGTCGATCAATCGAGGGGGCTGCTTACGTAGGGCCCCCGCACCAGGAGGCAAGCATGTGGCCAACCTTACTGGGGCCCCTCTCCATTCCCAAGAGGCAAACATGTGGCAAATACCTTCAATTATCTTGGCGTTCTCGCCGAGGCCTCTTGGGGCGTCTTGAGTGCCTCTGGGGGCTCTCTTGGGAGCCTCTTGGGGGCATCTTGGGGGCCTCGTGGGGGCCTCTTGGGGCCTCCTGGGCACCTCTTGGAGCAATCTTGGGGCACTTTTGGACGCCTCTGGGGCCGTCTTGGGGCCATCTTGGGGGAGATCGATTCAAGGAGGGGGCTTCCTTAATCAGGGGTCCCCCCCAAAAGGAGGCCAACATGTAGCCAAGACCGCAGTAACATCAGTGACTTTGGCATTCTCGCCGAGGCCTCTTGCAGCGTCTTGGGGGCATCTTGGGGGCCTCGGGGGGGCCTCTTGGGGCCTCCTGGGCACCTCTTTTGGCCGTCTTTGAACACGTGGAAGTCTCAGGGGCCATCTTGGGAGAGATCGATCAAAGGAGGGGGGCTCTTACTTAGGGCCCCCCCACCAGGAGGCAAGCATGTGGCCAACACCTTACGTAGCAGCATACATTGTTTTGGCCATCTCGCCGAGGCCTCCTGGGGCCTCCTGGGGCGTCTGGGGTATCTCTGGGCGTGTGGTCCAGTCCATGCTGACCTCGAGGCGGATCCAGCCGTGTCGCCGTGGTCTCAACTTGGCCATCCTCCGGTTGTCTTCGGGCGCTAACTCAGCCCTCAGGAGGCCACCTGGGACGATTCTGACATCTCCGGAACGCCCGTGACGAGGCGCAGTTGATGGGAACCGTCCTGAGCCCCGACAGCCGACGAGATCTTTCTGGCAACTTGACGAACTAACAGCACCGACCCGTATCCAGATGGGGATCGCAGGGAGGAGGGTTGGCCATGGGCATGGGCGCGCGCTGTCCGGGGGGAGGCTCCCGCTCGGGCGGGGACCCCTCATCCGACAACGCGCACCCACATCACGCTCCGCCCTCCCTGTGGGTATGGGGTGTGGATGTGTGTGACGATGCTGCTGCTGCTGCTGATGCTGCTGCTGCTGCTGATGATGATTATGATGATGGTAACAGTGATGATGCTGCTGCTGATGATGACGATGACGATGATTATGATTATGACGATGGTGGTGATGACGATGCGGATGCTGCTGAAGATACTGCTGATGATGATGACGATGACGATGATGCTGATGCTGATGCTGATGCTGCTGATGATGATATTGGGATTGATGATGCTGCTGATGATGATGCTGATGATGATGATGCTGATGATGATGATGATGCTGCTGCTGATGATGATGATGATGATGATGATGATGATGACGCTGATGATGACGCTCGTCGGCCCTCTCCGAGCCGAGCGGCAGCCGGTCCTCCCCCCCTCGCGTTGCCGAGGCCGGCGCGCTGGCGGGGGCGCTGGGGCCGTCCGCCGGCGGCGGTGGGCCGTCGCCGTCCAGGCCGCGCGCGCGGGCAGCGTCAAGCAGTGACGAAGCGTCCTGGCTCGCCTGTAGCCCTACCAAACAATGTTCTAAGAACCTTTTGTGGTTTCCACGAAATGTTCTTAGAATATTTCTGGCGGAGTCTGTTTGTTTTACCACATCGGGCGTACGTTCTATGAACATGTATGTTGTTCTCAGGACATTTTTGGGTTCTGAGAACATTTCGTGGTAGGTCTATAGGGGTGCCGGGACGGTCGGTCCCTGCTCAACATCCCTCGCCAGCACGCTCGCGCCGAGGGCGGGCAGGATCGGCAGGGCGGAGGGTTTCTCCAAAGGGCTTAGTTCGGCGACCCGTCCTCCGCCTCCTCCTCCTCCTCCTCCTCCTCCTCCTCCTCATCCTCCTCCTCCTCCCTCCTCCTCCTCCTCCCTCATCTCCTCATTCCCCTTCCCCTCCTCCACCTCCTTCTCTTCTTCCTCCTCAGGTCGCTTACGGCCCCGGGGGGGATTCTTGCACGGCAGGGGTGCGGTCGGACCGCAGCAGAAGAACGAGGTCGGTCTTGGGAGGGTACCCCAGTGTTTTCCGTCTTTGTTGGGTTCTTCGTATCTGTTGGGTTCGGAGAAGAAAAACGCCACAACATAAACTTTTGGCGCTCCGCGCGGACTTCTTGGATCCGCGCCGTGCCTCCCCGGCGGCGCCTCCGGCGCCGCTCCCGGCGTGCTCCGCGTGCCAGGGAGGGGGCCCGGCGCAGATCCAAGCAATCCGCGCGGAGCGCCACAAGATTCTGTTTATGCTGGCTTTTCCCCAATCCCGGATTGGGGGAAAAACGGCATAAACAGATTGTAAGCACTGATTGGCAATCAGTGCTTGCAAGCACTGAAGGGGTCCTAGCGGGAGTTGAAAGATTTGGCGAAAGTTCCCACCGAATTTGGTAGCAGGCTGGGTTCCCAGGTTGCCGGTTCCGGGTTCCTGGGTTCCCTGTCATTGGTTCCATGCCGATTTCGGTGGGTTCTGGGTTCCCGGGCTCCCGGGTTCCCGGTCGATCTCCTCAGCGAAAACCATCCATTGATTGGGGCTTTTCTTTGGTGTAATTTTTCTTCTATGTTTGTGGTGTTATTCGTATTTGTTGGGTGTTCTCCGTGTTTTGGCCGACGGAGGGTCTCAGGTTCTTGAGGGGTGTTCTTCTGGCCTGGGTCCGGCGAAGGATGGGAGCGAAGGGATGCAGCAGTTTGGGGTCGGCCAGACCGAGGTAAGTAGGAGAGCGAGGTCGGTTCGAGGTCGGCCGGATAATTATTGGGCGGTGTGCCGCGGAGGCCCTCGATCTCGCCTTCTCGATGGTGGTGCAGTCGGACCGAGGTGCGAGATCGAGGTCGGTTCGAGGTCGGCTGGCTATTGGGCGGTGTGGCGCAGATGTCCTCGATCTCACCCTCTCGAAGTGGGTGCAGTCGGACCGAGGTAGGAGATCGGGAGATCGAGGTCGGTTCGAGGTCGGCTGGGTATTGGGCGGTGTGGCGCAGATGCCCTCGATCTCACCCTCTCGATGTGGGTGCAGTCGGACCGAGGTAGGAGATCGAGGTCGGTTCGAGGTCGGCTGGCTATTGGGCGGTGTGGCGCAGATGCCCTCGATCGCCCCCCTTCGATGTGGGTGCAATGGGACCGAGGTAGGAGGTCGGACGGATATTGGGCGGTTTGGCGCAGATGCCCTCGATCTCGCCCTCTCGATGTGGGTACAGTCGGGCCGAGGCAGGAGATTGAGGTCGGTTCGGGGAGGGTGCCCCAGTGCTCTTCGTGTTTGTGAAGCGGGGCGGGTACCCTTGCATGTTCTGTGTGGTTTGGCCGACGGACGGTATCAGGTTCTTGAGAGATATGTTTTCTGGCCTGGGTCCCACTGTACAGAACGGAGGGGAGCGAAGGGGGGCAGCAGTTCCTGTCTCCTCGTACACAGGGCAAAATTGAGCAGCGGAGCTGTAGCGTTCTAAGTGCCGAACAAATAATGCGCTGAACCGCCGTAGGCAAAGCGCAAACAAGCTATGCACGCCGGGCGTAGAATATTGAATGAACAGGGCATGAGAGACAAGCAAAAAGAAGTAGGCCCAAAGGCTGGAAGTATACGCTGGCCACGCAGTGCTGGTGGGACTGTGGAACCGAATCGAAATCATATGATACTCCTAATGCGAGGAGGCACCGAACGAGGGAGAGGACGAAACTCGCGTGCAAGCCTGTAAGGTTCTACAACAGCGTAGTGTAACTGCAGGCTGTGGGCTGGATGGTCTCTTGAAAGCTGACTGGTCGGATACTCTCTCTCCCCAGACCTATGACCAGCCCCCACCCTTAAGTACACAGTAGCTGGCCTATAAGCAATGGTAATGATAGAGCAAACATAAAGCAAACTACTGACGCAGTGCACAGTTGGTATGCTGGCTGCCGTGGGGCCTGGATGGCCCAGCCTGGCCAAGTCTGTACTTGCTGGCCTCGTATCAGAGGCGGGTGCACTAAGCGGTGCCAACTGCTGTATCTAATCTTGGAGCGTATTGCTGTCGGCAGCCCGCAGTGGGGTTTGCCTTGGCGGCTCGTCCTCCTCCGACGTGCCATAGTGGCCTCTATCAGCAATCGTCCGCACATGCAGATGTGAGGTCAGTCCACGCACGCAGACACACACACACACCATCCACATCAGTCCGACCTCCCACCACCATAGTGCAGCAAGGAACGCCGACCTCCTACCACCATCAAATCAAGGAACGCAACCATAGTAAATCAGGAAATGCTGGGATTAGCCCTCGTTGATGCCAGGCAGGTAGGCGATCGTGATGTGGCGTGTCTCGTTGGTGTATGCCCATCCTAGGGACAGGTAGGAACCCGAAGCAAAGCCAGAGGGAGATGTATACGAATCGTCTGCCAATGTCCATGTTTGCCTCCACGTTTCTTGTTGTTGCGTTGCCTCCATGCTTGTAGGGCGGTTGCTTCTGGTGGATCGTGTGCGGCATCGGTGGTGGCTATGCGCTGTAGTGGCCTATTCTGTAGTCTGTGTTTTTTTGTTGTTGGCTGGTAGTGGTGCATGCGTTTCGTCTGCGTCGTCGTGGTGGTGTTTGTTCGATGTGCGGTACTGTGTCTACAGCATGTGCTTGCGTTCGCGTGTGCGCTGGTCGTCGCCTCTCTCGGAGTGCGCCACGCAGATCTCCAGTGCGGGACTCCAGACGAAGCGTGGTCCGTCGGCGCAGTCGTTGTGAGATGGAGGGTTCTCAGGTAGTCACCACCCACCAAACCACCCCAACCCAACCCGAAGGCCTCAATTTGCCCTCCATTTCCAGTTGGGGGGGGGGTCGGGGAACACTGAAACAACACATATGGAACCCGTACCCCCCCCAACCCGAAATTGGGGTCTTCGGGTTGGGTTGGGGTGGTTTGGTAGGTAGTCAGGTAGCGTGCCAAGCTTGGCATTTGAGCAACGCTGCTGCGGTAAAACTTGAGATGGCAGTCTGACGCTGCCCTCTGCCGTCTCCGTATGCGAGGACGTGCTCACAAGGACAGGCGTGCGTGACGTTTTTGTTGCACCTCCAGCGAGCACGATGGTGTGATGCTTGGGCCTCTGTACACAGCGAGGCGAGCACAGCGCCTGAAAAACAGACGTCGCCGTCTTTGTATATAGTATGTATGTATGGGTTGTGCTCGGCTTACCCTGTGGCCCTTCCCCGAGGTATGCTATATGGGCTCCAATGCTGGGTATGGGGTTGGGTTCCTGTCTCCTCCTCGCCCTCCTTCTACTCCTCCTCCTCCTCTTCTTCCTTTTTCTCCTCCTCCTCTTCCTCGTCCTCCTCCTCCTCCTCCTCCTCCTCCTCCTCCTCCTCCTCCTCCTCCCCTCTCTGCACTGCAGCGTCGCAGAGCAGCCAAGGACAGCCGCCAAGGGGCAGTTCCTGCCATTTCTGCAGGAGACTCGCTGTCGGTGTGTCGGTGTCGCCACGGACGCTGTCCGCGCTGACACCGACACACCGACGGACGATGTCCGTGTCCGGACGATGTCCGCGGCGATTGGACAGGAGGGTCGTGTGCCCAGCAGCGGCCGCTGTCGGCTCAGCGCTTGAAGCTTGCCGCAGGTTAAGTCGGGCACGTCCCTCTACAGGAGGAATAGTAAAACATTGGATTGAGGCAGTAGTCGGGTGACGATTCCTTGAGCAGGTTTGACCACTTTGGAGCCTGTTTGTTGGCTATGTTCTATTTTTCGTTCAGAATCCGCCTGTAGGGGGACACTCAGGAGGGGAAAAATCACACAGACACAATCAATCGTCGATCCCCCCAGAAAATATAGGAAAATATGGGAAACGATGGGAAGTGGGGGGGAAGACAAGCACCCATGAACTATGGGACGATATAAGGGAATCCTGTTATTTGTGTGTATTTCTGTGTGTGTGTCCCAGGGCCCCCTTCAGACACGCCCGACCTAAGCCTAACGCCGTTTGGCTAGAAGCACAGCGCTCGAAGTCTGGCCAGACGCCTACGACGAGGGCGAGAGAGAGAGAGAGCGCGAGCGACGCAGCGAGCGCGAGCAGGCCGGCCGGGCCTGGGCCGCTGCTCCCCGGCCTGCAGCTCGGCGGCGCCAGGCGGCGCGGCGCGCCTCTCAGGAGGGAAAGAAACACGCAGACACAATTAATCGTCGACTCCCAGGAAAATATGCAAAAATATGGGAAGTGGGGGGGGAGACAGAAACCCAAGAAATATGGGAAAATATGGGGAATATTTTTATTTGTGTGTATTTATTTGTGTGTCCTGGGGCCCCTTCAGCCTCCCTGGCAACCATGAGAGCTCCCGGCAGGGCGCGTGCTCGATCCCTCCGGCTCGCTTCGGGTCGACCTCGGTTGGCTTCCCAGAGGAGGAGAAGTAAAGCGACACGAAGATCGGGACAAATTCGGATCGGGATAACTCGAAATCTCTGAGAATCGGCGGGTTTGGAGGATGTATTGGGCGCCGCGGCCGCTCCAGAGCGTTCCGGAACGCTCTGAGAGCGCTCCGGCACGCTCTGGAGCGATTTATCCCGATCCTAGCCCTGCTTTGAGAAGGTGCCCATACCGCTCGACCACTTCCCCGTTCTCCCCTGCTTGGGCCTGGCAATCTGGCTCCTGGCGGGGCTCGTGCTCGGCTCCTCCGATTCGTTCGGGTGCAACTCCTTACGTGGGAGGTCAAGCTCTGTTTTTGCACTGGTCCGAAATCCGGCTCAATCTGGCTTGATCCCGCTTCATCCGGCTTAGTCCCGCTCAATCCCGCTTAATCCGGCTTAATCCGAGGCCCACTCCGGCACAACAGCCCCCGAATGGGGCTTCCGTTTCTGTAATCTTTCCGACGGAAACCTCCCAGTAGTTGCCTCCTAAGATTCGCCTCGAGTTGATTTCGATTGTTTTTCAGAGGAGGAGAAGGTACCCATACCTCTACCCCTCCTTCGTTCTCCCCTGTTTGGGCCTCCTGGGAGGCCCTCGTCGCCACCGCTGGATTCGGCTCGACGTCCTGGTCAGAACGCAACCCGGGAGAGGCCCGGGGAGTAGCGGTGTCGGTACTTTTTGGCTTCCCCAGTTTCCGATTCCGAGTCGATTCCGATTTCCGATTCCAGTTTCGCCTAGATGCCAACCAAACAATGTTCTAAGAACCTCTTGTGGTCTGCACGAGATGTTCTTAGAAGATTTGTGTTGGTTGGGACTGTCTTGTTTTGAACACATCGGGCTTGTGTTCCAAGAACATTGGGGTTCTAAGAACATGTCGTGGTAGGCCTATAGGATTTCCGGGACGGTCGGTCCCTGCTCAATTCGATTCCTCCGATGCGATCCCATTCGATCTCGATTGTTTCCGATGTCGCTTCGCTTCGGCGTGGGATTCCGATGTCTTATTTGGGAGGCATGCAAGGCTGCCGATGTCCGCCCATTCGACTTTTCCCGACTCGGCTGCCTCTTTCGGCCGACCCGATTCACGTCGATCGCCCATCCAACTTCTCGATTCGATTTTGGGCTGTCCTGCCCTGGCATCGACCAGCCGGACGGCCGTCAGAGCCGTCGTCGGCGGCGGCGTCGTTCCAGAGCGTTCGCGGAGCGTTCGCGGAGCGTCATGATTCGGAGGTTGGTAGATCTCCTAGCCTGACACGTCGATTAGGGAATTGGCCGTTTTCGGTTCGCGAGAGGGCGTCGCGGCCGTCATTTTTGTGTGTCCAGGCCCGTCGGTTTCGGTCCTAGGCCGTTTTCACTGGGGGGAGGCTTTCTTACAGGGAGGTTTGTCCACCGCCGAATGATTGACCAGCCCGGAGCGTATGTTACGGCACACGGCTTTTGACAGTGTATTGGGAGATCATGCAGTCGAGATGGAGGACGGAGCTTCGGAGATTACCAGCGTAATGCCCGATCGCCCTGAAGCCGAGCCTTTGGGTCAAGCCGCCTTTGGCGCTGGTCTCGCAGGAATGCTCTGAAACGGCCGCGGCGCCCGATAGTGTAGGATGACGATTAATACATGACTGGAGGTCGTGTTGCGTCGGCGGCGCCCTGGAGGATGATAAAAAAAAACCAGCCGCGGGCTGGGAAGCTATTTTTTGAATCGTTCCCTCCCAGCGTCCATGTGGCGTAACATTTGATTCCGACTTCAAATGAGCATTAAATGCAGTGTCTGAAGCCGATGTGGAACGCGTATTTGACGTAAAAGTTTGAAGCCGACGTTGAATTCGTATTTGACGTGAAATTTGAAGTTGACGTCGAATGATTATTCAACGTGAAAAATTTGACGACGTCGTGAAATGAGTATTCGACCCAATATTCGAAGCCGACGTGTAATAGACATATGATCGTCCTCCCCCCGTTGAAAAATCACACCGGAATCAAAGAAACTTGTTTTTATTTGTTCCTCCGATTGATTAATGAATTTTCATCGTGCATTACATCCTCCAAACCCGTCGATTTCAGAGCGGTCCGCTTTATATCGGTCCGATAGTGTTTCCATGTTTCCTTCGTCTAAGATAAGTCTTGGCCAACGTTACAGGGGAATTAGGCTCAGTGGGGGATGCGTCGACCCAGAATCACCCGTTTTTCGCTGACAGAGTCCTGCTAGCACAGTCTGCCCCAGGAACATGCAGATTGGCTATCGGTCGCCGATCGCCGAACTGTCGGCGATGTATCGCCGATTGAAGCTCGATGCTTCACCCCTGAACTGGCCCCCCATGCCCTTAAGATTGCCCCTCCAGAAAGAGGTCCTGAGGGAAGCGGGTCCTCGAGGCTTCTCGCCGTCTTCGGAGTTCCGGGGCCCTCCAGGGCCCCTGGGGCTGTCAGCAAGCGGCGCCGCAGGATGAACAATTGGTTCTGCCAAGGCCCTGGTGTCCAGGACCTGTTTCCCTCGGAACCTGTTTCCGGCAATGCAGTTGTCGTCGTCGCCATGGCAGTTTTCATCCTTTTTGTCGCAGCGCATGTTAACCCCGGTCTGGTCTATCGTGGGGCCATGTTGAGCCGATGCGTGGGTAGAAACGCGACGACACCAAGGCAATGCAGGCTAGGTTTGGCTATATGGAACCCTCCGCAGTGCCACCTCTGGTCGCCCACTGGCGCTGTCCAGCTGCCTGCGGCAAGTCCCGCCACCGTGCCAGCCCAGCACTCTGGGTGGCGACTTTTCGAGGGGGCTCAGGAGGCCGTCAAGTGTGACACCTCGTGTCCCCAGGCGTGGGGGATGATGATGATGATGATGATGATGATGATGATGATGATGATGATGATGATGATGATGATGATGATGATGATGATGATGATGATGATGATGACGATGAATATGATGGTAATGTTGATGGCAATGGCAATGCCAATGGTGATGGTGATATTGATGCTGATGGTGGTGACAATGATACAAGTGACGATGATGATGCTGATGATGATGGTGATGCTGATGCTGATGCTGGTGATGAGAATGATGGTATGGCGGTGATGATGCTGATGATGATGGCGACGGTATGATGATGATCATGATGGTAATGATGATGCTGATGATCATGATGCTGATGATGCTGATGATCATGATGGTGAGGATGATGGTGATGGCAATGGCGATCGTGATGCTGGTTTTGGTGGTGATGATGCTGGTTATGATGGTTATGATTGTGATGGAGATGGTTATGGTGCCGCTGGTAGTGCTTGTGGTGTTGATGATGATGATGAGGAGGAGGAGGGTGCGGGTGAGGGTGATGGTGGTGATAGTTGTGGTGATGATGATGCTGGTGATGCTGGTGATGATGATGATGATGATGATGATGATGACGATGACGATGACGATGACGATGATGATGGTGGTGGTCAGGAGGAAGATGAGGAGGAGGAACGTGAGGATGATGATGATGATGCTGATGATGATGATGATGAGGATGATGAGGGTGATGCGACGGATGAAGTGGAGGATGAGAAGGAGGAGGAGGAGGAGGGGGAGGAGTAGGAGGAGCTGGAGGAAGAGGAAGGCCGTCAAACGTGACTCCTTTTGTCTTCACTAATGGAAGAGCCCTCATGGAGTTCGTTTTTGCTGTCTTGTGACCGTCGTGGCCTCCTGTCAGGCAGTCTTCGGAGGCCTTGTAGGCCCTCCTGGGCCGTTTTGGGGACCTCGCAGGCCGCCTTGGGGTTCTGTTGGGCTGTCTTGAGGGCGTCTTGGCCAGACGGTGCCTGGGGGCTGTCGTGGGGCCGTCTTGGCGCCGTCTTGGGCATCCGAAGGGCCTCCCGGGCCGTCTTGGGCCTCCCGGGCCGCGGGCCGCCTTGGCGCCATTTTGAGTTGTCTTGGGGCCAGCGCGGGCAGTCTAGGAGCCGTATTGGGCCGTCCTGGAGGCTGGAGGCGTCCTGGCCTCGGGAGCGCGCACCTGACGTAGTCTACGGCGGATGGCCGCCTCGGGAGCACGAGAGCGACGTGCTGTACGAGAAGGTTGTGGCTTCGGGAGGGGGGCGGCGCGCGCAGCCGAGTGCGACTCAGGGGGGGGGGCACGAGAGGAAGACGGGAACCATGCCAGGCCGCACGTGGCATTACAGCACGCCTGACCTTGCCAGGGGGGCACGTTGCTGGTTGACCCTCTTGGGGCGGTGCAATAGGTTTGGGGCAGTTGTGGTGCAAATGCACTGCGCCAGAGACTTGCGTTGCAGTGCACTGCAACTCACGCATTGCACGCGAAAGCTCGTCAATGCATCTGCGCCCCAGAAGGTGCTGCACGCCCAAGATGTGCTGCAGTCCCACAAGTCTATGGCACCAAGCCTATGGCACCACCCCCGTCTCGCTGGACCCCCTTCTGGGTCAACCCGAACGGTGGCGGAGTTTGCCGCCGAGCGCGTTCCACTACTCGCAAAGTGCCTACTCGCAACCGTCCGACCAAAAAAACACCTGTCTGCTTCTTTGATATAATTGACCGTGGGTCCCCACTGAGGGATCCAGGCCATTTGCGAGTGTGTACTCTGCGAGTAGAGGAACGCGCTCGTCGATCGATGCGACCTCGGGGCTCCGCCGGAGGCAGTCACAGAGCCGGCGTTGTGTCATCGCGGGCGGCTTCGCCCGCGGGCCACCGTGGGCCATTCGGCTGGCCGCGGGCCCAGTGCAGTAGTACTATGTCGGGCGTGTCCCTCCACAGGAGGAACATTCAAACATAGTAAAAAATAGTCTGGGGACTATTTGTTGTACTTTTGCATATGTCTGGATATTTGTCGCGCATGTTTCATTGTTCCTCCAGACTCCGCCTGTAGGGGGACATGCCCGACCTGACCATGGTTTCGGAGAGATGTGGGGCGCGCAACTTTCGTTCGCGATCTTGTCCCCGCCTCCAGACCTCTCTGACGGAGATTGGCGAGAGGCACCGCCGCACCTCTCGCACGCCGTGTCACACCAGGCAAGTGACAGGTGAGGGTCGGCGGGCTCCGTCTTCCCCCTCTCCACCCCTCACTCGTGCTCCCGCTGCTGCTGACCCTGCTGCCCCTGCATCTCCTCCTCTTCCCCCCGCTCCCAACGTTTAGACGCTTCGCATATCCCCAAACCTCCATCCAGTTACGATGCCCAGGCGAGTTGACGACGACGACGATGTCAACGACGAGTCAACGATAGAGGTTTCGTTTGGGAAGCCTCGCGGAGGCCTCTTTGAAGGCCTCTTTGAAGTCCTCTCGGAGCCTTGGGCTCCATCGTTCAACAAGGGGAAAGGCTGACCTTCAGGTCCCCTCATCGGATGCCGACAAAAGGGCTCGTTCGGCCCTCTTGGGGCCCTAGTGGGGCGCAATTGGGGCCGGCTTTGGGCCATCTTAGGTCCCTTTTGGATCTCTGTTGGGCCATCTTGGGACCGTCTGGAGACCTCAGGGGCCCGTCAGAGGCGAAAAGGCGAGACGGCGGCAGAAACCACCGACCTTCCTAATGTATTGAACGGGTTTGGGCTTTTTTAAGGGTGCTTTCGGTATCTCGGAGGACACACGGAATTGTCGTAGGGCTATCTTACAGAACGTAAATGGGAGGTATGTCGGGAATTGTATTGAGCCATCTTGAAGTATCTTGGAGGCACTTTGGGCCCCCTCGGGGCCATATTGCGCCATCTTGGGCGCTCCTATGGGTCGGCTTCCCCCCATCCAGGCCCAGGGGGGGAGGGGAAGGTGTCATGCTTGACTCCCCGCCCGCAAACTGTCTCGCTCACTCCCATCCGCCCTCCCAACACATAAGCAACGTCCGAGTCTCAGCATATCGCTTGCGCGCGGCAAGCAACATGCCAGCACCCCCGCCGTCCTCGGGAAAGAACAATGCAAGATGCTCGCGGAGGGCCTGCGCATGCTCCACATCTGGAGGCAAAGTGCATTTTGCATTGGTTTTGAAAAGGATGGCCGGCATGCGCGCAGCAAGCGATATCCCGCCCCCCCCCTCCGCCGTCTTTTTGAAATCACAATGCGAAGTGGTCGTGAATTTTATGTTGCATTGATTTTGTGACATGGGTTGCGGGCGGGGGAAGGGCGCATGAGTCCGGGTTAGCTGCCAGCCGTGTGTGTGTGTGTGTGTGTGTGTGTGTGTGTGTGTGTGTGTGTGTGTGTGTGTGTGTGTGTGGGGGGGGGGGGGCTAATCTATAGGGAGCAGTGATAAACCCCTGCCCATCTCTGAACATGTGAAGGGCTCTTGGGAGAAGCAAACCCAGAATTCGTCGTAACACTTCCGCTCGGAGGGCCGGTGGGATTTCCTTTCTTCCCCTCCTTGGCCTCCCCCTCCGCAAGGAGACGGCCACGATCATCCCGACCTCTCCTGAAGGCGTGGTCGGACTAGAACTTCCAGGGGGATCCAGCCATGGCGACGGGAGCGCCGACTGGCCAGTCTCGAGCAGGTGTGATGGAGCCTTGATCCTCGATCTCTCAGCATCGTCACGGCGACGACGACGCTGCCCCGCGCGGGCCGTGGCGAGGCCGCCCTCGGCCCTCGGGGCGGCCATGCAGCTGCAGCAGATGCAGCTGCCTCGCGGGCCCTGGGGGGGGGGCTCTCCTGCTGTCGTCCTTCCCTCTCCCCCTCCCTCCTCTACCTCATCCTCCTCTTCCTCCCTCCTCATCCTCCTCCTCCGCCTCCTTCTCCTCCTCCTCCTCCTCCTCCCTCCTCTTCCTCCTCTTCCTCCTCCTCTCCCTCGTCCTCCTCCTCCTCCTCCTCCTCCTCCCCCTCCTCCTTGTCGCTTCTTGGTTCGCCTCCCCTGAAGCGAGCCACTCGATTAGCTTTTCCCCCCCTGCTCCCTTCGCCCTGGTGCCTGCTGTCGCCCCGCCCGTGCCGCATGCTTGAGCCGCTGCGGAGCCCTGGACTTACACAGTTGGGCGCGGGGGTTGGCTGTGTGTGACGTCCGCTCATATCACCGCTATATCGTCGTATACCGCTACTGTATCGGCTCAGGACGCGCCAATGGCAATGTAGACAACGGCGGTTTAGGCTTCGGCATTGTGTAAGGAGCGCAAGAAGGACGTAATTACACATGCACATGAGTCCACGTCGTTTTCGAGGGTGCGCACTGCGCGGCTGTCTGTAGCATGCGGGCGGTCTCGCGGATCGAGGGGCCGTGTTCATGTACGTAGGGCCGTGTTCATGTACGTGGTCGGGCGCGTACGTCTTCTGTGGCTTCCCTATGGTAGTTGAGAGTGCCTCGTGGCCATCCCAGTTGTGGGACATCGCGGCTCGTGCTTTCCTACGCTTCGTTCGCACATTCGAAAGGTAGGAGACGGTATTTCGTGATTTCCTACAAGTTGTTCTGCGCGAGCCCGGTATCACAAACATCCGATTCTCAACATCACCGTTAACCAACATCGCCGCTAGCGCGGCCGTTTCGTAAATATTCCGACGCCCCCGCGCAGCCTGCCGCTTCACTGAACGCCCACCAAACCAGTCCAACCCAACCATAAGGACCCCCTTCGTTTTTACTTGGGAGGGGGAGGGGAACATTGAAACACCGAAGTTCGGGTCTTCGGGTCGGGTTGGGTTGGTCTGGTAGGTAGTCGCTCACCGCGGCGGGGCCCCGAGCTTCTGTCCGCAGTTGCGGGGGGAGTGGGGGCACCCTTCCTGCCTTCTGCCCCCCCCCCGTGGGCGGGCGCGGCGGTGGAGGGCCGCCGCGGCACCCCCCTGCCGATTTAGCCTTAAGTGGGGCCTGTCCCTCTACAGGGGGGATCTTCAAAAACATGGAAGCATCATCTGGGAACCAGTTTCCGACCATCTTGGGGTGACTTGTTTTTATATGTTTGGGGTATTTTTGATTTTTCGTCTAATATCCCTCTGTAGGGGGACATGCCCGACCTAAACTTAGCCCCCCCTCGGCGGAGAAGGCCAGTTGCCAGAAAGGTTTCGCATGAATTTCGCAGCTTCTTCGGAGGGGGAAGAGGAATCCACGCCTCTGCCTGTCCCTCGTTTTCAAACTGTTGGGCCTCCTGGGGGGCCCTCGTCGCCACCGCTGGATTTGCCCCGAAATTCGGGTCTTAAGTCGGCCACGTCCTTCTACAGGAGGAATATTCAAACATTGTATAACACCTAGTTGTGGGACGATTTGTAATATTTTAACTCATGTGGGGGTATTTTTCTACTATTTTCCATTTTTCGTCCAAAATCCGCCTGTAGGGGGACATGCCCGACCTCATTCTGGTCAGAACGCACCCCGGGAGGGGTCCGGGTAATGGCGGTGTGGGTGCCTTTTGGTCTCCCCAGTTTTCGGTATCGGGGATGGTTCCCATCGTCTGCGCCTCACCACGGGCGTTCCAGGGATGCCTATACGCCGTCCCGAGCAGCCGCCGGGGGCCCGAGCTCTCGCCCGAAGCCAATCTGAGGAGGGCCAGGGCGAAGCAGTCGCGGCCCTCCCTGGCGCGTGTCGTCCTCTTTGGGGGGCTACTTGGCTGGGGACGCTGCTCGTCGCCACGGCTGGACCCGCGCCGGGGAGCCAGTCAGGACGAACCCCGCGAGGGGTCTGGGGGCCGAAGGTGGGCGGTCCTGGGACAGGCGGGAGAGCCGCCGCTGTCTGCCTTGGCCCGCCAAGGCTTGGGGGACGCCAACTGCACACCGAGGAAGGAGGAGGGGGAGGAGGAGGAGGAGGAGGAGGAGGAGGAGGAGGAGGAGGAGGAGGAGAGGAGGAGGAGGGAGGAGGAGGAGGAGGAGAGGAGGAGGAGGAGGAGGAGGAGGAGGAGGAGGAGGAGGGAGGAGGAGGAGGAGGGGAAGGCGGAGGAGGGAGGAGGAGGGAAGCGGAGGAGGAGGAGGAGGGAGGAGGAAAGGAGGCAGGAGGAGGAGGAGGGAGGAGCGGAGGAGGAGGAGGGGG